ACCCCAAGGTAAATTTCTCCCATAAGGTTCAATGTAAATACGGCTAATCCACCCTCCAAATTTGGTCGCACCCCAAGGTAAATTTCTCCCATAAGGTTCAATGTAAATATGACTAAACAGTTCTGAAAGATATGCATTTTATTTTTAAACCTCAAAAACCTTCCAAATGCCACAAAAACCTTCCAAACGCCACAAAACACACCCTGATAGTAAGTTCCTTATGCATTTTATGTTTAAACCTCAAAAACCTTCCAAACGCCACAAAACACACCACAAGCCTCACCAAGCGCCTCCTTGCTCCCGCGATCTCGCCCACAGGAAGCCGCGACCGCGTGGCAGCAGGGAAAATGGCCGCGGATCCGGTTCGTATCTCGAGGCGGAGTTCGCATGTCAAGGTAAATTTTTGGGGCTGGAGCTGGTCGTATCTCGAAAAATTCGTAAGGAGGGATGTTCGTAACTAGAGGTACCACTGTAGTTCAGAGGTGTATGGAACTATGGCTATATTTGAAGGAGACCAAGTTCAGTTAATTGGAAATATTTCGTAGTTATGTATGAAGTGATCAAGAACATCCACACTGTGGTAAAATCTACTTTGCTTTGTTGACTAACTCTTCTCTGTTTTTTCTTTCTTTCTTTTTGTTTTTTATTCCAAAGCTCTAGCATGCTCAGAATGTCGTATGGTGCTCTCCAATCCCACAGGAGTTTTTACCTCTCCTTGCTTCCCCAATAATTATCCCAACAGTCAAGAATGCACGTGGACCATCAGGGCTCCTTTTGGATACATCATTCAGATAACATTTGTTGATTTTGAAATTGAAGAAGCTTCTGGCTGCAAGTATGATTTTATAACTTTGGACACTGGAGTCAAAGCCAAAGGAAATAATTATTGTGGTATGACTGCCAAAGGTTTATCGTTTAATTCATCTAGGAATGAAATGACTGTATTTTTTAAAAGTGACTTTAGCATCCAAAAAAAAGGCTTCAATGCTAGTTATACCCGAAGTAAGTATGTGTTTCTTCCTGCTTCCAGTCTGTCTTCAGAATGTAGACTATATGTAAACTTTTGAGATTGTGATTTGATAATATCTATTTGACTGTAAAAGTAGAATGTTATTATTTACCTAGGTTTAGGTAAGGTATCCAAACCATTGACTTAAATTAAGTCAGGGTTCTGTTGCTTATTTTAATACAGCTTTTGTGCAATAAATAAAAAGAAGAAATTGTGTTGCACAGCAGATAAGATATATGGTTCTTCATTCAGATCTCCCCTGTATCATGAAGTCAATAAGAGGGTCTCAAGTAAGCCATTCTCTGTATTTCGGACTTTCTGCATCTGCAGTGTGGAAAATAACATTGATCTAGGCCAGGGTTCCTCCACCTTGACAACTTTAAGACGGGTGGACTTCAACTCCCAGAATTCCCCAGCAGCAAGGCTGGCTGGGGAATTCTAGGAGTAAGTCCACCCGTCTTAAAGTTGCCAAGGTTGAGGAACCCTGATCTAGGCTATAGGGTTATTGTAAGATAGGGCTACCATATGGGCTGCAAAATCCAGATGTGGAGCAGAGGGCAGTGAGACAAACCAAATCTCTAACTCTTGGTTGCCTTCTAGTGGTCGTCTAAACCTTGTACAGATAGTCCCCAGTTTAAGATCGAGTTCCGTTCCCAAGGTCTGTCCTTAAGTCAAATTTATATGTAAGCCAGAATCATATTTTTGTATAATACTGTATAAGTAGTCTTGTGTAATTAGCTTGAACCTTTGTGTATTCAACTCGAATCATTGTGTATTTAACTCGAACCATTGTGTATTTAACTCCAATTTTGCTTCAGTAGGCTCCATGCTTAACTATGGGTTGTCCTTAAACTGGGTGTTCTTAACCCAGGGACTACCTGTATAGTTTATCTATAGTAATGCTGTTATAAGGATTATGACATGGGCTGAGTGAGCAAACAGGCATGCAATAGATTTCCTTAAGCATTCCAAGTGCACATCAAAACCTTTCAAGAGTAAGTGAAATGATATAGAAATTATTTTTAAATGCTTGAAGGAAATAAGTCCTCTGGAAACCAGATTAATGAAATAAGACTGCATATCACTATTTCATTAATGAAATAAGACTTCCATATCACTAACTAAAAAGTTAGCCCTAGTTATAATTAAATAAAAAATATCCCATAGCGACGAATAAGCCCCATTAATCTAATTTAAGTTTGCTTCTGATTAGACAGACCTGTAGTAATCCCATCTTGTTCCCACAATGTAGTATTAAACCCTATTAATTGCCTTTTTTGTAACCCTTTCCAACTTTTCAAGGAAAATTTGAATTGTACACCATAGGGGGGGAAAGGTGTCAATGTTCAGTTTCACACTGACATTAGTTATTTTTTAATGCATATTTGCCATTTATAGATGTGGTCACTAGAAGTCTAAAACTACCTGATGGCACACATAATCAATCACAAAATTTATAGATACTGCTTGTAAAAGGAATACCAACAGAAGGGATTCCTCAAGAAATTTAAACATTTTGACACTAGGAGAGAAATCTGTTACTAATATTGGCACTGCACTTCCTGTGAAATTACTGACAGAATGTTTGTCATTTCTCTCTTGAGCTATTACTGAAATTAGTATCAGCATCAGGTTGCCATTGTCACATAACTGGATTTGTAAGAACGTGTTTTCTGGGGATCAATATTCACTTATTTTGGTTTGCTTGTTTTTGACAAATAGACTTCCAAAAAGTATTAAGAGGCAAGAAGTAGCTTATTTGTTGATAAGAAAAATCAGACTCAGAACAAGTTGACTTACATGGTACGTAAGTCAGAATATCTTTCCCTTTTATTAGTAAAAATGTAGCAACAATACACAATTAAGTGCCCTTTCATGAAACCCCAGAACAGCTAAAGCAGCCACTCTCCTCTGCCAGATGATGTGGCTACATTTATATTATTTGTGGGGGAAGAAGTAGGGTCTTTATATCACTGTATTTCCTGCAGGAATCTGTTAATTATTCCATTAAAATTTGCAGCTAACACAATTCTCCCATGTTTTGGCATGGGATCAGTCACAGAAATGACTTCAGAATTATGCTTGTCAAGATAGATAGAAATCATGAATAGGAATTTTAAGAGTTAAGTATTGATAAGCGATTGTGGCTACTATCTTATATATGTTTACCACAGAGTAAACTTCAGTTAAAATACTGAAATTTATTCCTAACTATAGATGCAGAGGATATGGTTGCCAGATGTGGCTGCTGGTATATTTAGTAAGTTGTTTTGCAATGAAATGTGAACAGGTTTATTCAACTGAAATTCAAAAGTTTGTAAACAAAGAGCTTTTATTTGTGAAATAACATGGCAAGGCACTCTCTGCAGAGTCTGAAAAGGATGTCTGGCATTCATTTCTTCAGTGTAACACAGCTGTACAAAATAACCCATTGGGGGCAATTCATAAAGAAATGAAAGGGCTGTTTCAGGTTACTGTGTTGCTGCTTTATCTAATACAAACATGTAAAGTACCCCTCCCCAAATTTTTGCAAGTAACTTATTCACATTTTGTAGGAATCAAATGGTCGCATTATTATTTACAGTATAAGTTAATTGATTACAATAATACCCCTGCATATACTTCTGACGCATTTAATTATATAGTGGTAAAAAGTACTACATTAATTAAAATTTGGTGGTAGTTGATTCTGAAAACATTTTCTTTCTGTATTCTAGTTGCTGTATCTTTGAAGAATCAAAAGGTGGTCATTCCACAATTTCTAGACGCTGATTCTGTCTCTCTGGCAAATTCCATCCAAGTACCAGAACTTAATCAGTTCACCTTGTGCTTTGAAGCAACGGCAAACAACAGAAATAACCGTGACTGGAAGGCCTTCTCCTATGGTGATTCCTCTGTGGAATTCTTCAGCTTTGGGAAAACAAAACAGGGGCACTTTATTTTGATCTCAGACATAGAGTGTTTCTTAAACGACGCACTTGACGTTGGTCTAAATGAGGACTTCTTCACGGAAACGTTTGAAGAGCTTTGCATTATATGGGATAGCTTGTCAGGCACTGTAGGTGTAAACGTCAAACAGATGTATAAAACGGTCCATTGTTCAGGTACTTATGGAAAAGTGATTCCTGGTAATGGGAAGTTGGTTCTGGGTTCTGACAGAGACGACATAAGCCCTCTCACTGGAGATATGTACAACTTCCGGCTTTGGAATTTTACAATGAATCCCCAGTCTCTTTTCAACCTCAGCTGTGATGAGAAAGGCAACATTGTCGACTGGGAAAATGATTTCTGGAGTATTCCAACAACGTTTCTAAAAGCAGAAAACAACCTGAGTTGTGGTGAGTTTCTTTTTTAAATTTAGGTTTCCCTCTCTGGCATAGCTGTAAAGATGCTTTAGGTCAGAAAGAAAATTTGTTATAGTGAAAATGAGTTAAGATTCCCATGGAACATACTCCATTTTCTTGGACTTGTTTGGCTATAAAATCCATGTGCCACAGTAAATATATTACTGTGTAGGTTCTTTTTGGGAATTCAAAACCACAGTAACGTATTTATTTATTAAATTTGTGTCCCGCTGCTTTCTTCAGGAGCTCAAGGTGTTATGCATAGTACTCCTCCTCTTATTTTTCCCCACAATAACAACCTTGTAAGGTAGGCTGGGTTGAGAGACAACGATTGGCCCAAAGTCACCCAGTGAGTTTCCATGGCTGACCATGGACTAGAACCAGGGTCTTCCCAGGACCAGCTCAGCCCCTTAACCACTACAGCACAGACTGATTTCAAGAGTTTCAAAAGATGGGTCCTACAATGGGCTATATGCACAATGTTATAATTTTAACAATTGTTAAATTGTTACATTTTAGTGTTTATTGAACTGTATTATACAGGTTACAATCAATAAGAAAAACTATAACATTAACAGTATTATATTATGCTTCTCCTTACACTCACGACCTTAAACTAAATCTGTTGTTTATTTGTATGCTGCCCATTCCCGAATAAGTTATGAAAACAGAAGCAAGGGTCATAGACAAGGCATCGTTTTGCTAAGCAACCAGTCTTGCTAGTGATCAAACTACATATGGAAGGCATCTTAAGAAAAAGCCCACAGAAGAGAGAATAAAATCACCCTTTCCCCAACTTCATTCCTAAAATACTCTGTATCTTTTAAACAGTTTTCTTCCAGCCTTGCTTATATACTAGCATAGAGCTGCTTGAGGCAAAGTCTGGAATGCAGAAATCTGGTATTTTCAGATTGGGCCCATAAAGCTGCTCCACCCCTATTTTGATTATCACTGTACTTTCTCCAATTCCAAGCTGGATAAGATGGGCTAAGCCTTGACCTGTATATTTGAAGGACTCCAAAAACCTCTCCATGCAAAAACGTTCTTCTGTATTCCTTTTAAGCTTGGAGCTCATTATATTGACATCTTCAGAGGGCAGAGGGGCACTCATCCTTAAAAGAATGTTTTTGAATAACTGCCTTGACATCTTGCAGAGGCAGGGGGGTATCAAAAGAGGCAAGATGGCCACTTTTGTGTGTACATGCATGCGACACACATGGAAAAGGGGCAGAGCTTCAGTTGCTCTGACACACCTGCCATCTTGCCTCTTTGACCCCACCTGTGATTGCCACTGGCAAAAAGCAAGTTAAAATAATAGTTAACAAATTTAAGAAAATTTTCTTACTTTGTACTGTATATTTGATCCTTAATCTACCTTGTGTGATTGTTGTGATTATAAAATTGGAAGGGGCATTCTGTATATGTAGCTTTGAGATCCTGGCAGTAAGGCAATGTATACATGCAATAACTGGGTAATCAAAATGATGTTGATGATATATTTTATTTATTTATACTTCACATTTAGATAGCCACCCATCTCACAAAGTGTCTCTGGGCAGCATACAACGATTAAAATAAGTGAATAAAAACAGGCATTATAAAAAGATAAAAAGTTAATAATAAAAGATAATAAAAACATTATCACAAATTTAAAAAAAAGATTTTAAAGATTTCCTTTATAGCAAAAGGAACATTTTATTTATTTCCTGAAATTCTCTTGTATGTGAAACCAATTAAATCAAAACTTTCTTATTCCAATCTATTTAATTTCAATACATCCTTGATTTTTATTAAGGGTATATTAATGATTACAAGATTAGGTTCAGACTGTGATTCAGTGATCTGAATAACACTCCAGTTAATCACACACACTGCTTCAGAACTCACATAATTAAGATGTGACATAAATCAGAATCACACTTCAAGAATGCTTAACTTTGTGCCTCTCCCCTGATTGTCACTGGAAATCAAAAAAGATTGAAAGTTTAAAAAAAATCAGAAGAATCAGATAGATATCATAGCCCCTTCTAACAAGGGGTTAGGGTTAGGGTTCTAGGCACAGTCTTCTTCAAATCGAGCTTTGTTTCTGGGCTCAGTGGAGTGAAGTGACCTCCCATCCAACTGCTATTCAGTCTGGCTTAGTTTTTCACGATCAGCCATGGTCAGCTAGACACTGCCACCCTGTTGAGCCGAGGATATACTATCTGCCAAATTTTAGGCTCTTAGATACACTTAGTGGGGTGACTTTTCAATCTGGAAGTTTTCAAAAGTGGGGATGCTTTCTCTTCTGTGGTTAAAAAAAAAGTGAAAAGAAATGAGCTTCGTAAAGCTCCTTTACACTTGATTGGGTCAGAATAAAAAGGAATTTGCTTTCTTCTTCAGCTGTTTTTGTGAGTAATTTGTATCCTTATTTTGTAGAGATGCCCCTAAGTAGGAAATCTTAAAAATTTTCAGAAGGGCAAGGAAATTATAAGGAATACATATAGTCCTTAGAGTTTTTTTTTTTCCTTTAAATTTCTACTCTGTTGACAGAATTCACTTACAAAAGCTTTCAAGTATTTCATGCTTCATGGTTTACAGTAGGTGACCTTATATTGAGAAAGACATGTAAACAACACTGTATAGTCAATATAGAAAGAGTCTGATAGGACCTTTTGAGACTAACCATTTTATTTAGGGCATAATGTTTTGTGGGCTGCAGTTCATTTCGTCAGATGCATGGAGTGGCTTGGCTCATGGGGGCGTAAATACATTAGAATGAGGCAGAAGGGAAAAGGAAGGGGAAGGCAGGGGAGACGGGGTTATAGAGATGGGGTTCTTTGGAAGGCAGATTACATGTACCTGCCAACATGGCCCTCCCCCTACAATATATAGTCAAGGTAGTGCATTTTAAAGGGAGCCTTTAACATTTATGATATGATTTTGAAAGCAATTTGCTGCTATGTGCAGAAAAAGGGATAACATAGTGTTGCAGCAAACAGAAAATGCTACACTTCACAGCTGCTATGGAACATATCCATAGCCTCCTGTTATATATTGATAGCAAGCCTCACACAAACAGGAAGATAATAGTCTGCCTTCCCCACGGTAGCATCATTAGAAGTACTGAATTCAATGGATCTGCAAATTTCTTCTTGGAGGGCTGAGTCTCAATAGCATCTGCAGTGTTCATAGCATCATCCAGTTCCAGCCAGCTCTCAAGCAAGCTATTCCAGGAAGTCCAGAGATGATGCTGACCCAGAGACCAGCTCAAAATGCAACGAAAGTGCAGGGCTGCCTCTATCCCAAAAGCACTATATTTAAAGTTAAAATAGAGTTCTGATAAAGTTATTCCTGATTAAAGGTATCAGTCCTTCTCCTTCCTCCCTTTTTTATCTTTATATTCTAAATTTAGAGGGAAAATAAAACAGTTTTGGAGGTGATCTCTGTCCCTTTGAATCTTCAATTTGCTCAGTGTTTAGGGAGATAGTGCTTGGAATGAAGTCCAGATTTGTCTGAATCTGTACAATGAGCTCAGGATTTGGGGTTCATCTGAATTGTATGGGCATCATAATTATGAACCAGACTTGAAGTTACAATTAGAAATAGTAAAAATAGATTGTAAAATGAACAAGTGTGTTAACTGGCTTTCCTCTCTCTTCCATGTTATTGTGCTGTTATCAATATACCAATGTTAGATCTCATGGGCAATTTCATAGAACTGCTAGGGGAAAAATCAATCTATGCCCTTTTTACAGTATTTTGTAGTAACAGCCTTTTCATATATATTACACACACACACACACACACATCACATATACATATATGTTTCTTCAGCCCCCCTTCTTCTGTTTCATTCCATTATTTCAATCTGATATTTTTGCAAGAAGGATGTTTTGCTTAATACAGGTATCCCATTCATGTGTTTGAAATTTGTTTTTATACAGCCAGTGCAAAGAACTTTAAAAGATGCATACAATACATTTCCTTTTTTATTTTGCTAGGAAAGTAGATAATTTATTTAAAAAGTAGTATTTGGAAATACAGATGCACTGGATCAGAAATGATGTGTTTATTGTAGTGTTAGCCACAGCACAATTTGTGTGCTGTATTGTAGTGTTTATATATATGTATGTATGTATGTCACATTTATATAGCCACCCATCTCATATAAAGCGACTCTGGGCAGTGTACAATAATTAAATAAAATAACAAATGGATAAAACAATCATTATAAAAAGATAAGAAGTGATTATTAAAATGAAAACATTATCAAAAAAATTAAATTTTTAAAATTTTAAAATACACATACCTCACAGAGAGAGCAGAATATTAATTACAGTGAAGTCATCTAAGAAAGTCTCCGGTTCCCAAAGACCGCCAGGCCTGATGACACAACCAGGTCTTGAGGGACTTCCTAAATGACACCCCGCGGAGAGAGCAGAATATCAATTACTTCAAATACTTAAAATATACAAATCCTACAGAGAGAGCAGAATATCAACTATATCAATTAAGAATGACTCTGGTTCCCAAAGATTCCCAGGCCTGATGAAACAACCAGGTCTTGAGGGATTTCTAAATGTCAGCAGGGAAGGGGCAAGCCTCACTTCGGGAGGGAGGATGTTCCACAAGGAGGGAGCCACGGCAGAGAAGACCAGCCTCCTGGGATCCGCCAAATGCAAGTCCTGGCCGATGGAATGCGTAGCATAATGTCCCTGTCGGATCTAATGGGACGGGCTGATGTAACTGGGGAGAGGCGGTCCCTCAGATAACCCAGCCCCATGCCATGAAGGTCTTGAAAGGTCAAAACCAGCACCTTAAATTGGACCCAGAAGCAAACTGGCAGCCAATGCAACTTGCAAAGCAGAGGTGTAATATGTGCTCTTCTAGGAGCACACATAACTGCCCACGTTGCCACATTCTGCATCAGTTGAAGCTTCCAGATGCTCTTCAAGGGCGGCCCCATGCAGAACGCATTACAGTAGTCCAATGTGGAGCTGACTAGGGCATGAGTGACTGTGACTGTGAGCTACAATACTGGTAATATAACTGATCTGAAATTTATATTTCCAAAAGTTATGGTAGTGATAAGGTGTCACAGCAGTTGGTAGCACCTAGTGGCCTTGGCCCATCTCAAAAAGCTAAGTAATCTCAAGCCTAGTTAGTGTTGGGATAGGATACCACGAGGAGATCACAGGACTGTAAGCTGGACTGAGAAGAATCAAATTACTTCCATATTGTTTCTAAGAAAACTACATGGAAGTGTTTAGTTGTTAGCTATTGATTACTTATTGTATTTATAGTTTATAGAAAAAGAACCATTCTGTAATAGTCACTGTAAAAAAATTCAAGGAACAATAAAAGGTCTGATTTATTTGCATATGAATGTCACTACCATGATCATACTTACACATTTTTATTTACTGATTTTTAGCAGATGTTTTAGTTTTGATTTTCCTGGTAAATGTCTCTTTCAGGTTAACATGACATTTGAAATTAGCTTCCTTGTTCCACTTTTGTACATGCACTCACGTATAGATTGTATTTTTGTTAGACTAGCTAACTAATACCAGGGTTTTCAGCAGGTAAGAAAAGTAGTCCTGCATTCCCTTTCATATTTCAAATACCAGCGCTCCAGATGTATGTGTATGTATATATATGTGTGTGTGTACACACACACATACACACACAAACATACAGAAGAACATTGGCTTGTAAATTAAAAGGAAATGAATATTAGACAGAAGGAAACAAACAAAAAGACCCAGGACTTTCTAGGCCCATGGAATATGGAGGGTGCCAATTTTTAAAAAAATAGTGGGAAGACAACTAGGATTGGACAGAAAAATTCCCCATGCTATACAAGAAAGTTTCAAGAGAGAGATATAAGATGATGATGATAACAACAACCACCATTGCACCACAGAACTATAAAACACTCAAGTTCAAAATAGCCCGAAATCTATAGAACATAGTCTGAGGACATCATATGTAATATAAATTTATCACAATGTAATCCAGGTTTTACAAGAGCAAGAAGGGGAAAAAGTGTTTCCTTTACCTGGAATTCCTCCAAGTTCAACAATTCAAAGGAGTTCCCAACTATCTCCTAATCATTGGTTTTCATCAGTTAATCATTAAAGACTATTAATCAGTAATCTTTCTAATAAAGGAACACTTAGCTAACAGCCACATATGCTCCTTCCTGTGTTCTAGTCACCTTTTAAAGCCCGCAGCTTCTTTTGCAATTGAGAATAAATTAACAATCAAAACATGCAAAATGACTAATCAACATGTCTTCCCTAATAAGCTATCATCTTCCTGATTTCTATTCAGATAATTAAATATAATACAAGAATGGGGGGTTGAACTTTTATCCCCATCTTTCCTTCTTGTTTACATAAAGGGAAAAAAAATTATTAGAATTTCACTTATATGCACACATAGCATCAGGACGTAAATAGGGTTTTCTTTAAGGCAGCAAATCCTCAACTTCTAATTATATCCCCAGAAAGGGAGCAATAATTCTGAGGTACATCCAAGCCATCCAAGCTCCAGAAATTGTGCCATCTGTGGTGAAAGACAAGATGTTCCCCTCACTACTACCATAACTCATTTTATGTACAGAAACAAGTCTAGCAGCTGAATTTTATTTAATGTTGGCATTGGAATAGCGTTCTGTCACAACTGGCTTATGGAACATAGGCTATGTGTCTATCCGTTGTCTCTTTTCAAAAAATGAACTATTAGTGTATTTGTCTTCCTTGAATGAGGCAACATGCCATCTCATCTGCCTGAATCATAAGTATGGGGTTAAGCTAGCAAGCCTTTGTGTTTACGCTTGTATATCAGATCCAAGCTAGCCCCTCAACCTTCACTGGGTTAGCAAGAGACCCTACAGTAGCTACTGTTATACTCAACACATTTGTTTTATTTAGTGATCTATAACTCTGTTCATCTAAGTATTTACTAAGGCAGTTTCTTTAGCTGTCTCACTGAGAACCATTTCTCATTAAAATACAAGTCTTGTTTATAGTCTATCTCCTTTTTTTAAAGGCTCATATCTCATTCCCTCGCCTACCACTGAACCAACTAGCTGTGGCGACTTAGGAAGCCTTTGCCAAGGTAAGAAACCAATAATATTCTTCTGAGTTAGAATATATTGCTATGTTTCCTTTATAGGCTTTAAGATGTACATGGAAAGTATACAAAGAGGAGGAATATAATAGCCTTGACATAAGTGGATAAGCCAAATGTGGAAGGAAAAAAAAAACCGTTACCTTTTCTATTACATGTTTTAAATTTTGCAGGTAATCAACACATTCAGCATAAAAGGCTCTAGCTTCGTTTCTTCCTTTGTTCCGTTTGTTGCTATAGTGTGTTTCAAAAGCGTGCTTTTTATTTTGACACAACAAGGGTATGAGCAAACCAGTGGATTTCAGCATTCTCCTTAAGAGCAATACAGCATTGGTTTCTTCCTCTCTGGCCAGACAGTGAGCCAACAAAGTATTCAAGAGAAAAGGGGACACCTTCACTGCAGTATGACTTGTGGTAATTTATTATAGCTCTTGATTCATGTTTTATTCTGTGTAGTATAGAAATTATATATAGACTTTCTATAGTAGGGGTTGTTGTTTTTTTTAGAAAAAAGAAGAAAACCCATATTGTTCCTCCACAGACCAAGCACTTAGGAAAGCTTTTTTTTTTTTTGCTTTCTTACATTGTGCTGCTCATAAAGTCAAACTCAGACATTAGAAATATAAAACTTAGTACAGTGGTACCTCGGGATACGAACACCTCTACTAACGAACTTTTCGGGTTACGACCAGCTCCGGCTGCAAAAATTTACCTCGATGTGCGAACTCCGCCTGAAATTTGCGTCGGGTTACGAGAAATTTGCGTCGGGTTACGAGAAATTTGCGTCGGGTTACGAGAAATTTGCGTCGGGTTACGAGAAATTTGCGTCGGGTTACGAGAAATTTGCGTCGGGTTACGAGAAATTTGCGTCGGGTTACGAGAAATTTGCGTCGGGTTACGAGAAATTTGCGTCGGGTTACGAGAAATTTGCGTCGGGTTACGAGAAATTTGCGTCGGGTTACGAGAAATTTGCGTCGGGTTACGACCAACTCGGGATACGCCCAGAGTCACGGAACGCATTAAGTTCATATCCCAAGGTACCACTGTACACCAAAGGCATGGGTCACCTCTAAAGAATACCAGATTTGATGAAGCTGGGATGAATTTTGAATTCACTTTATTTAACTAAATAGTGCATTTAAAAAAAAAAAGATGCATCTAGGGACCCAAGAGATGCAAGAATTCTGTTTGTTGCCTGGTATTTAACATTACACTTTTAACCATTTAGATTTAGTACTAGCTGAGGGGCCTCTACAAAAAAATAAATAAATAAATAACAGCCATCAATCCTTCAGGAGAAATTCCAGCATTATCATGGAACAAGAAAGCAGCTACTTTAACTGCGACATCCCAAATTTTCTGCCCAAAGCCTGTGCTAAAAAGTTATAGCATTTTGTTCTAGCAAGGTGCAGACATTTTAAATCAGAGTTTGATCTGATCCCCATTGTTGTATTCAAACAAAACTGTGCTAAAGTTTTACAGGTAGTCCTCATTTAGTGACTGCAATTGCTTCCAGTGAAATGGTTGCCAAGTGGCAAGGCTGCTAAACAAACCATGTGGGAGAGAGAAAGACACTGCAGAGATTGCTGGTTGCTGCCATCTCATTCTGATAAAATTTTCTAATACAGTGTCCTGTGCCTGACCCGTATTTTTCCTTTTTTGCTCTGCAAGACAGAGAGATTGCTTAAACAAGGTATCTCTTCATGAGCTGCTTTTCTTCACAGTGCAGGGCTTCCCTAAAAAGTGCTAATTACAAGTTAACAAGCTCAGCTCTGTGACCTTAACTAGTAGATGAGAATTTTCTGGCTGGTGGCAGCTGCTGCCTGAAACTGACAAGATCCTAATCAGTTTCACACTGACGGTTTTTGTTGTTCTAAATCCAGGCATTAGTCACAAAGTTACCTTTTCACCACCATTGTAATTGCGAACGGTTGCTATCCTAGGTAATCACTAAACTAGGACTACCTGTATATCATTTTGTTCCACAAAGTCTGCATTTTGTATTCCTCCAAACGGGATAACTATCATAACCCCTGTAAGCAGTTATCAAATACCCCAAACCTAACATGGACCAATCCCAAAAGAATGCCAACATTTTGTACCAGTACTATTCCATCAACCCTCGGTCTTATATTCTGTATTTAAGTGGGTACAGACATTTCACATGAGTGTTTTCTACTTCTCCTCCTCCAAAAGTTGTTACTTCCCCCAGTTTATATCGAGGGAATATGTACCTTTTTGGAATAGAGGCATGTGCATACAGTTTCACTGGATAAGCAATGTGAATACACCTTACTATTTTTTGCCCCATTGAATATGTTTATAAAGGTCAAGAATGCCCATTAGAAATAGTGAGAGGCCTCTGAAAGCCCGTAGAGTGTAACAGGTTCTGATAAGAACAGCTGGGTACAAAGCACAAGCTTGGTGAAATAAAACAGTAAAAAAACTGGTATAAAACTTTGGCATAGTTTTGAGATTGAAATCACATTTGGGATTTGTAATTGACATACTCATTTCGGGGTAAATCATTGGCAGTGGTAAGGATTAATAGATTTCCTAACCAGCAAACAAAGCCAAATTGAAAATGCGTCCCCCAATTTATACAGATGTGTCTGATGAAATTATGCCCCACGCCTGTGCTCAGGCAGAGAAATTCACATTTGTAGAAGAAAGAGAGTAAGTCTAAACCGAGAACAAGCAAACAACCACAGACACCTTCCACCTCCACTTTTGTATTTCCATCTGGGAGAGGCATATGTGGGAAGCTAGATTTTCGCAGGAATGCTGATTGTGTAAATTGCTAATTGTTACCTAGCACTGTGTGTGAGAAATGGAAAGCAGGATGTTCATTAGGCCATGGAAACAGTGGGAAGAAACAGCCTTGCATCTGAACTGCAGACAGCATAAGAAGGGACCTCACCCTCATGTTTACAGAGGGCCATAAACTGATTTCAGTGGCTTCATTCTAGTATTCAGTAAAGATCTTTGTCTAGCCATGCTCTGTCTGCCAGCTCAAGCTGTCGAAGGATGGAGTCTCACACCATCTAGATGCTGTTCGTACTTGCCTTTTTACTAGAGTCTTTTCAACAAAGCTAGCATCTCAATCTCCACTTCCTGGTTGTCTCTTTATATGAAGGTTCTCTGAGATTGACCAATGTGTTTTTCTCCCTTTCGGATATTGAACATAACAGAAGACTCTTCCAATTAACTATAGAGAAGCAGCAGTTCTCACACTCTCCACGTGTGCTCTCTGTGGAGACTGCATACTGAAGCTATATTCATTGTGAAGAAATTTAGATTGGTGCAAACGTAATGAGCTGCAGTTCTCTTTGGATCTCCCATTCAGCTAAATTGCACCTCAAGTTGTTATGAAGCTTTACACTAATAAAATGTTACTATTTTTAAAAACATGCAAATCCCACAATAAAAAAAAAATCTGCTTTAGGTGGGGCTACTAAGCACATTCCAATTTTGAATCATGCTTCGGAAAACAGAGCTTGGAAACTAAACATTTAACAGCTGTGCAATTTAACCTGTAAAGTCTTTGCTAAGCCTTTTGCTATTATGGATTTAGAATTCACAGACTATCTGGCCTGTATTGATATAATCCCCATTATTCTAAACAGGTCCTGCTACTATAGTATAGTATTTTCCCAAGTCCACGATTCATGCACAATCACTTTCAATAAACATAATTTATGGATTTCTTCATGATTTATAGACATTTGAAAGACAATGTCAGGATGACAGAACTTGCTAAAAGAGCTAAATTGACTTGTTTGATTAGAGAATAGACAATATTTACATTTATTGGTGACTGGAAACCCCTTATGGACTTTTGGGTAAAAAAGAAAAAAATGAACTTGTGATACATGGTTTTGATGATTAGACAGGATAGATTAAGTGAAGAGAGAAAGAGAGTCATGATGTAACTTTAGAGAGAGAGGTTAAAATATAATTGTACCTATAACTGCTGTGAAGAAGATCAGAAGCCACTTCTTTATAACTTTCTTTACATCTTTTTTCTTTTTCTACTTTTCTTCTTTTCTTCTTTTTTTCTTTTTGCACTTTTATCTTTTTCTTTTATTTCTCCCTTTCTCTTTCTTCTTTTTCATTCTACTTTAGTTTGTATTAGTTCTTACTATTGTTATTAAAACACTCAATAAAAAATTATATTAAAAAAAGAAAAAAGAGGAAGTCAGGACTGGTAGGTGAACAGCTGTGGGGTAGATGGCTTCAGATTAGAATTACCTATGAGAGTTTACTCATTTATCTTTACCATTGATTCCACTTCACTACATATCTCCTTTAATATTTTGCAGTGAAAGGATAATAAATGAGGATTTTATGAACTTTCTGATTCATAATGACATGATTCATGAGAAAAGTCACACTGCTGTGAAACTGTGTTTATACAAATTGAATGTCTTAGTAGTAGGCATTCAGAAAACAGTTAATAGATTGAATATGCACACTCTCATACACAGATTAAATTATGTAGTATAATAAGTTGTTTCAGTCAGAGGAATGGTTTGAGCTATATTATCCCACTGTGAAATTACTGGTGTAGAATTTTATTCTGAACTGTTGTTTTGGCATTTCGTTTCCTCTGGCACAAACTGACGTTTCTGTTCAAGTTTCTATTCTTTACTTAATCATGAAGGTTTTAGTACACTGCAAAGTGGGTGAAGGAAATGCTGACAATTCTAGGGTGCTGCTATGTGCAGTTGGGTGGGATATGAAATAGTCAGATATTAATTGCAAGATTGAAGTTCATTGGGTATTATTAATTGGGTAGCTACATTCGTGTTGTACTGTACTGTTTCTGTGTGATGGGAGTCTGAAGTCTCTCGAAGGTAAACAACCTGTTGTCCTAATCGATCACTTAAAATCTAGTGGTGTGATTTGGGATGTAGAGGACAATTGTGAACATGAATTTGTGAAAGAAATAGGATGCATCAAGGTACACGCAACCATTTTGTAATTCATAAAACACCCGCAAAATACATCAGGTATGTATTGGAAGAGATTGTGTGAATCTATTCAGTTTTTGTCTGACCAACTGCTGGAATAATAGGAATTGTTTGCAGAACTATGAATTACGCTGGGTTTGTGAAGTGTGAGTGGTAATTGGAATCTGCTTAATATTCTCATCTGAAATTGAAGGATTTTTTTGATGATGGAATGTTTGTATCAAGGCCTTCAAAGTAGACCAGGTCTGGAAACAGATGCCACAAGGACTACTGGAACTTTACTGTTGTGAGATACAAAAACAGAATCTTCCAAGCCTGACAGAGATTGTCTCTCCACCCTTTTATACCAAAGAGAATCAAGATGGGGCAGTCTTGACTTTCTTGCTCATTCCTTCCTCTTTTTCAGGGCTAAGCTGGTGTTTACTTAATGGCTATTGAATACTTTTTTCAAGGCCATTTCCATACTCCTCTACAGTTTGTATGTGTCACTTCCAAAGATAGAACACAAAGGTTCTACTGTGCATATTTTTTGAATGCATGGCTTTGAAATGCTTCTCATTAGATTAGCCTGAAGTTCAAACAAGAAACATAGAAGTTTAATATGGTGATGAGTTCCGATTAAATGAAATTTGCCAATCATACTTTTTAGGAAGAAGTTATGGCAGATGTTACATTGAAATGAATGTTCAGTTTTGACATAAAAAAACCAAATGGTCTGCTTATTATACTAACCATGAGCTCTATGGACAAGGTTTAAGTTGTTTAAAAATTAGTTGTAATTTATGTATAGAAGTAATTATCACATTTGTATTGTACAAATGAAGAAAAAGGTTTTTTTTAAATATTTTCTGTTTATATTCATATTGGTTTGTTAGATTGTTTTGTTAATATGTTTATATTTTGTTTTGTTTGAATTGCACCCATGTTTTGAGAGTTTTTTGTTTGAACTTCAAGAAAAGCAATAAGCAGATATCTTGTCTCATCCATAAAAACCCATTGTCTCTTATTTTAATCAAATTTTGAAGAAAAGGAAAGGAAAACAAAAAAGGCGTCCACACACATCAGGAAAAGGAAAATAATAGGCCAAAAAGGAAAAATAAAACATAAATCAGATAAATGGAAAATTTACAAGCCTCATACAAATAGGTTAAAATTTTAAACATTTCATTGATTAGTTTTAAGTAACTGAATATAGTACATTATTTTTTTAAAAAGTACAAATCATTATTAAAATCCAAGTAATATATGAATATCAACAGCAATAGTCAGCACAGTATAAATCATAAAGTGAGATTAAAAATTACAGTAATTTCTATCTAAGCAATTAAAGGTTTTATGTAAAGAGAAATCCAAATTTCAGATATGGTACAAGCTTGTACACAGAGTTATAATCCAGAAATTATTTCCAAGTTAAATTCTGTATCAGGTCTGCATTTAAAACACAAAGTTATTTTGGACATTGAGGCTTAGTCCCAGAGCTTAATTAGCCATTGTCTTCAGAAGGAATTATGCATACTTTCTAATAGGAAGCATAGAATATTCTTGCAGCAATTACCATGTACAGAGCTAATTCAGTATGCTTTGTGGGAATGTAAGATTTAGTAATATTTAATAGGGAAAAAAAGCAGGTTGGAAGGAAATTCATTTTTTAAATTTTGTTTCATTCTGTTATAAATCATTCTGCAAAATTTTTGAGCCCACCAAATATGGAAAAATGATCGAACCTGATCATTACTTTTCTATCAATTTTTAGAGAATGAACCCTTCAATTTAGCAATTCATTCAGTTTAGAAATTGGACAGAACATCAACTGATCTCAATTTCCTATTGTCTTCTATAATTGAAATTCCAAAAAGTTTGAGGTTTGTTCTGTTGAAAAAAAGACTGTTTCATTTTGAGCTTGAAAAATGAAAATATGAATTTTCCCCTACTATAATATTTGTGAATTTAATATTTTTCTTCCATTGAAATTTTCAGTGCATATCACTTGTATCTAGATCCAACATCCATATATTCATACACTCTAACTTGCTTGGTTTCTGTGTCGTATTTCACCAATAATTTAAAAATAGGGCCCAGTAAATGCTCTGAGTTTCCTGTTACAAATTTTCAAATTCAGTTAAATCTTTTAAGTATTCTCTCTTATTCTGCAGTTCTTTTAATACTATACTATTTATTTGAAGATATTGAAACCAGTCAGTGATTCTGATCATTCCAAAGAGAAAGTTTCAAAAGATGTTATCTTTGTCTCATTAATAATCAAATTTTGCAGTATATACAATTGTCGTCTCTCAAACAACTTTTCAAGTATTTCAACACAAGTATTTAAAGTCTACATATTTTGCACTGTTTCTTCTCCCTTTTCCCAGAAGAAAAAATATTTTTATAGGCTTACAGATAGACATTTGAGTAACCAATCTGAAAATTAAAGGGATTAGCTGCTCTCTTCATGCCATAATCTTTTGACTGAGTCACTCTGAAGGTTTATTTAAATTGAAAATGTATCTCTACTGGCAGGTGGAATAGGCTTTTTAAAAACAGATTTTAAACAGATTTAAATGAGAATGGATAAGAATATAGCTCAGTTCCCATTACATCCTTTGAGGATTTGTTTTAATGTTTTCAAATATCTTTTAAAGAAATTATCCCAGCCAAATTTTCTGCAGTTTGGTGGGTAGATGACATTCAGGATAGACTACAGTCCCATCTACTATCATGACCCTAGGTGGAAAACAAGGAAGTATCAACTGATCTCAAATTCCCATTGTTTCCTCTAATTAAAATTTTAAGTTTTGTTCTGTTGAAATAAGGGCTGTTTCATTCTGAGCTTGCAGAAAATATGCATTATTATATATATTACATTCATGTACTTCTGTAGTTCACACTATGCATGGGGATATTTACTAAACAAACATTGCTCTATCAGCAGTGATGTTTTAGACTGAGCTGATATTTAATAATGCATTTTTTCTCAAAAGTATAGTTATACTATTTGAGGTTTTTTTTTATTAGAATATCTCCATCCGCTGATATTCTAAAAAGACAAGCATGCATCTGTTTTTGAATGTTTCCTTTGAATCATGGATGGTACTTCTCTAGTTGCCAGTACAAAAGACATCTGAAACTGAGGCAACTTGAAAATGTAATCTTGTTGTGGTCATTATGCAGGCATTAAAGGATTTAATCAGAACCTGACACAGATGGCAGATAGACACAAGGCAAATTTTATGCTATTTACAAATGCTCCTTTTTTATCATTAAGAGAAGATTATTTTGAATTTGCATACTATACTTCATTTCAGACAAATAGTCTTGCTCAGTTGACAGGTTTGATGTTAAACATGGCTCACTTGTAAACAATGTATTTAGGACTGTGATATCCTAAACACATAGTATCCTAAACTAACGAAAGGTATTATTTTGTGCAGTATACGGTGGTAAAACTATGTGAGGGTAAATTCATGTTACTTTCATCTTTTTTAAAAAAATTGCAACCATAGGTTTTAGCTAAAATTCATATAGAATTACCACAATCCGTATCAGTTCAATTCATCTCCCCTATAATTAACAACACTATTTGTCAATATTTGCATTAGTATCTTCCTTGCGGCCATTGCAAACAAAGCAACTTGTTTTGTTACACGTTTGTCTACGTTGGTCAGCAGGAAATAGTGTATGGCAATTTATGTCATTCATCAGTTCCTAATCTAGTAAAAATTGTGAGAATAGTTTTAAGCATGAATTCACCCATCCACTACTGTTAAATAGTTTGTGGAGGCCTTGTTTTGCCAAATAAGTGTTACTTTCATTTCACAGGTGATCAGATGAGACTTGTTTAAAAATATATAGCAGAACTGGAATTTGAATTGAGTCTAACACAAAAATGTGTATGTGTGTTTTATGTTATATGTAGATTCAGTAGTTTAAAAGTAGGTTCCTCTGTTTGTGTTTTCATGTTTCTATTTTGCCTGACCTTATTAACATTCATATGCCATACAAGTTCAATTCTTTTTCATCTTTGTTACCAGCTACTGTAAGTTCAACCACTCCATCACCCACTGTTACCACTAACATGCTTGATACTAACCGAACCGATAAAATAATGGATGGTAAGAAATTTAATGTTATATTTTCTTTGATATGTTACAACATCATTTTATCTTTTAAGCATACTTGCATTATATACGGGTGTCAGATTCTGTTTCAGCAAACACTGCTGAAAGGGGTTTGTGTCAAATGAATAACAATTTTGGATTATAAAAATTTCCTATATAGAAGGAAGATTTTTAAAGTTATTTTTCACATTTCTGATTTGATTATTTTATTAACCTTCAAATGCTAAAGATTTTACAAAAGCAATCTTGATGTTGTTCTCTTTAGAGTTTGTTATTTTAATACTATTGCTTAGCTTGATCCAGAGCACCCTTGGGTTACTGAAAAATAAGAATTGTTCATCTACCCCTGTTAGGGTCATTAATTCAAGTAATATCATTAAGAGCAATGCAAATTCCTTTGAAAATAATTGTTACCTTTCTCCTGAAGATAACCACGAAATATGATACCTCTCTTGGGATCCTACATATAGAATGTGAGCAACATTCAAATGACCCTGATAAAGCCAGAGTAAATTTTAAGAAACTTTATATATTTGATTGTGTCCTTCAAATAAAAACTCTCCCAGTGGCTAACAAAATTGTAGATATAAATTAGCAATAAATATATAAAATGAATGGATTGGATCCTGAGCCTTATTCTTTTGACATCCTTGAGGGGAATCTGCACAGACCCTCCATGCAACAGAAATGAGAGTGAGGAAGTGGAAAATCATCTTCAGAGTGCTGTTCCATCACTCTTGGGATGACATTCCCTCCATGCCCAGTAGAATTGCAGAATTATAAGGATTAGGGTCTGAGGAGGGAATTAAGGTTTATGTTAATACACAGATGGATAACCTACAGCCTGTGAGATGGGATCCTCACATTTCTTTTTCTAAGTTTCAGTCACCTCCTTGTTTGGGACCGAATTTTGGCCATATGCCTGACATTTAAACTAACAGAAAATAATTTAAAGTTAGATGTGGCATACATGGAATCTCTCCCCATTTTATTTTTGCAGCAAAAGCTCTGTGAAATAACTTGGACTACAAGATAGTAATGTCCCATAGTCACCCATGGTGTTATGAGTTCCATAATCAAGTAGGCCTTGAACTTAAACTCTCTACTCCCATTCCAAATTTAATTGCTATACTTTATTGGTTTAGAAGTAGAAAATATTGGAAATAACTTCATATGATGACAATATAGTAGCAAAAAAATAGTTCTAGCTTAGCTGCACAAATATTTTTAGATCACAAACCATCAGAATGTATGCCTCAGGTTGGGCTGCAGGTTGGGTTTGAGCGGACCAAGAGTGGCCTCTTAGCCAGGGTGGAGCATGAGTTGAGGTGAAATCTCCATGTGTGGAGTAAAAATAACAACATTTCACAGATGGTAGATAATATAATAGAACTTACGACCAGTAGCTCATTCAAAAAGAAGTCTCTGTCTTCATGCACAATCAATAATAAATGGTGAATAGAATAAAAGTTTGTTCAGAGTAAGAACAGGTCTGAAGTACATATCTCTGTCTCCTGTACCCACTTGGAAAACTTTGTGTCAATGAACAGTTTAAGAATAAATTGTGTAAATTTTCTTGTTTAATCTTTGCATATCAGAACTCAGTCTGTTCAGTGTAGTTCTTGCTGAAATAAGTGATTTCTTCAAAATCAGTCTGAGCTGTATTTGATGAAAAAGTAGTTTCCTTAAGTAACATTTTTCATTTATTAATTGAATGACTTATTGTATACAGACCTGCAGGAAATGAAAGGTCCTGCTACAGTGGTCTTCAGAGTCAAGAGAAATTCAGCTGACTCTTCTCAACCTATTCAACATTGGCAAGAAGACTCTAAGATAAGAGGCATCAAAAACATAGGAATTATATCAACCCCAATAGTTTGGCCTGTAAAACAGAGGCCTCTGCACACCAGTAAATTTACAACAACTGAGAGAAAAATTGCAACCAGTTATTTCATCACAATAACTCCTGAGGTCATACCATCTGCTTCTGGAGAAATTCAAGTTAATATCTTGGACCCTTTTACAGAACAAGTAAACTTAAATTATAATTCTTCCACTGAGTTTTCATACTTTAATAATGTTTCAGGGCATTCCGAGAGCTTGTTAAGTGAGAGTAGTATTTCAGAGGAAATACCAATTCTCCCACTTGATCATATCAGGAATTTAGGATTCCGTATTCAACAGAGTGGAGGTGTTGAGACAGAAGATTCTAGATCAAACTGGCTGTTTCCTTCACTGGTGAACAAGAACACTTTTTTTGAACTTACAGAAGATCCTCAGTGGATGCCATCTCCTGTTAGTTACACATTTTCTTCTGTTTATAAACACACTAACAGTTTCTTGCAGTCTTTGAGTACATGGAAGGAAAATGCAACTTACAAGAATTTTATTTCCAGAACTCCAGAAGAAAATCTTTCTTCTCTTGCTCATCAATATTCTTATACACACCCTAAGGAATTAGTTGAAGAAACAATGCTTGGCTTACTAAACAGATCACTTGACAGTTTCTACTTGCAACCCACAAAAAGAATTCTACAAGAGGATTCTCTTAGGAATGGCTTTTATATTGTAGATGATTTACAGACTACAAAATTAAGTCACATAAAAGACTATAATTCAGTTCATTTTAAAAAACAACTGTTTAAACACAGTGCAAATCCTTCTGGTTCATTACAAAACATGAAGGCCTGGTTTCCAGATGTTATGCCCAGAATCCATCCAACAGAAGTCTTCCTGTCAGTGGAATACCATACAGAACTACATTTATCAGCAGGTTTACCAAAAGCAAGAGGCAGAAATTCAGAAATTCAGCAAACTGTTTCTGCTTCATCTTTATATCAAGAAATATACAATAGAGCTTTTTTAAAAAGTGACTTATTTACTTTTAATCCTCTCACTGAGCAATTAGATAATTTAGGAGAACAGGAAGTCTCATCTCTAGAAGATGAATTTGAGCTTCCAGATAAGTTTATTTCTTACAATAATGATGTATCTTCTTTTTCACCTCTATTGGAAGATGTCAAATCAAAGTCAGAAATGATTTCTGGAGCAGGATATGTAGAAAATAATACATCTAGCAGCCCATATAATGATACTGCTTTTCTCACAATTGATCCTAGGAAGCCTAATGGTGTAAGTCTTCCAACACAATACATAAATACTTCATTTTGGACTCTGGCGCATGATCCCCTAGAATCTTCTAAGGAATCTACAGGAAGATGGTTGTCCTCGTTTAATCAATCATATTCTTCCCTAACAGAGAGAATGTCTTTTTTCATGTCCCCTACACAAATAGATGATATCACCACGCAAACAGTTCCTTCTAATAGATTGGTAGGCTATAGTGTTTCTAAATTAAATATTTTTACTTCTATATCAGAAGAGAATTTTAGTTCAGTTCTTCCAATATACTCATCAAGAATTTCAGATGTTCTCGAAAGAATATCACAATCAGCAACAAAATCAGACCCTCTGCTTAACAAAAATGGACCCATAAATGATGTTTCAGCTGTTCATGTTCCTTTAACTTCCCAGGTAATACCTTTGATTCAGCCTTCCTTGCATTTACAGATAAGTTCTTATGATATATTACAAGGAAGGTTTACTTATGATTTTAAAATTACTGCCAATTTAGCCGTGCAACAGACCATGGAGAAAATACTGGCTGACGAAGTAATAACTTTTTTTTCTTATATTGAACCATCAGCAACACCATTTTTTGAATCTTCATGTACAGAAGCTACCTGCAAAGTTTTATCGCTAAGTCCAATACATTTTAAGGAACTGACACATAATATATATGCAGAGTTACCGATTAGTCAGCTTACAAGTGCTTCTGATTATACGAACAATGCAGCGTATTCACTTACGAATAATCCTTTTTTTGAAAAACAAAATCCAGAGATATCTGATCTGTTTATAAGGACAGTGCCTTTAGAAATACTGCCTACTAATTGTCATAGAACAGTTGCACATTTTGGCAAACACTCTGCAGCTGTAATGATTTCAGGCACTTTAATTTCACAGAGTCTTCTGAATGACCTTGATCAACTTTCTCTTGATTCAGGATATTTGTGGAATGAAAAACTAGTTCAGGAACAAAGCACAATGAATGAAACATATCTTTCTGAAAATGAACATCATGATCCAAATAATTTAGAAAGCAAACACATTCTACTTCTTCAACCTGATCATGCAGAACTGTTTGGTGATATGGCTCACAGAAGTATTGGTACTAAAATAAAAGCTACTGTGTCAAAACAAGAATCAGTTGTTTGGAAAGTGCATCACAATTCTAGCAAGTCTACTGATGATCCTATTAAGGAAGGATTGTCTTCTTTAAATCCAAATGATGTTAATCTTACTGATTTTTATGATTGGACAATTTCCTCACCTTTTGAGGACTTGAAATATGAAAAAATAGTAAACTATTCTTCCCTTTTGGAACAAGCCACAGTTTCAGTAGTTACTGATGTGATAGTTCAATCTTCTTTGTTGAATGAACCTACTAAGTATTTTAATGAAAATGTATCAAACCATACAGAAACAATGGTTGGAATGATATTCCATAATAACAACTTGCAAGTTCAAAACACAGTGGATATGTCAGTTCATGAAACTGCTCTGACTAATATACTGCCAGAAGCAAATCAAAGTATTGTGCTCAAGACAACATTGACTACAAGTAGCAAATCCCTTTTGACTTATTTTTTATGTAATTCTTTCATGGACTGGGATTGCCCATGTGGACCTGAGGTCAAACACAGTATGTCAAAACATGTAGAATGACAAATGCCTCATCTGCTAGATTGTATAAATAGAGTTTAGAATTATTGGGGCTAAATTAGACTTCATGCTTAGCACTAGAAACATTAAAGCAATAGAAATTTATTAGAAATGCATTTATACCATATTAAAATGATTAAAGATCAAAGCATAGAACTTTAGTATATGATTCTAATCACTACCATTTCATTTACTAATTCAATATCTTTGAGGAGACTATTGTGACAGTCAAATGACACTGATTCTCCTATTCACTCCATGGAGATTGTTTTGTAAAAATCTAATGAAAACAAATGACTACAGATTGATCAGAAAATATGAGAAGGAAATCATGGCAAATTATCTTCTCTATATGCAGATAAATTCTGGCATCCCATTTCTCTCCATTGAGGTTCTAGATTCTTGCTTCTGAACCAGAAGATGGAATCTCTGTGTGTCTTCTTCTCTATTCTATGTCTGGCTGCACAGAAAGACATTGAATCTACTGAACTTCTGTTGTTGTTTTTACTGATTTTTCAGAATAAACAATATCCAACAAAATGAACAGGAGAAATCACTGCCTAATAATTATATTTAAATACATTTAAATAAAAACAGTTTTATTTTTTACATAGATTACTTATAAGTATTATATTATTATTAGAAGTATTTTGAAACAATGATCTTAAAAAAATGAGCATAAATTCAAAGAGGAAGTATGTTTTGAATTATTTTAATGTTGTCATTTGATAGTCTCCTGAGAGTAAAAGAAAGTTATAGTTCTTCATACTAACCTCAAGAAAACATGTTTTCACTCATTGTCCAGAAGTGGTAGATCTTTAGCTCTGCTATTTAGAGGCAGTAGAATTTTCCCATTCAACCTGATATAATGTAAACTGTATTTTCACAAAATAGATGAATAATTCCTTTCCAGGGAAATGTAAAAGAAATTTTATGTTCATAGAAAATTGGTTCACACATCACTTACAGTATAAATATGATCTTAGCAAGATCAGAGATTATTCATGTTAATCTGGTTCTACAAATACCTCAATTCATGCCAGCAATAGTGGTATATGAATGAATTTTTTTTTTTAAATCCCTAAAGTTGGGATAAATAACCACAAACATGGAAGGGAATGATGGGGTTCTGCAACCTATTTTTAAAGTTATTCAGCTCTTGTTAATGACACATTGACTCTATTATCCCATAAACAGCTTGATATTTATTAAAAAGTTCAGTATGACCAGGGAAATGCTGTACAGTAAGGGAATCTGGATTCCATATAGGTAATTCCTTCCCTAAATCATTCTTATCTAATTTAGCAGATAATCTCTGGGAATTTTCTCCTACCCCACCTGATTACCACTCAGAGCTATAAATAAGCTCTGACCTACCCTTCAGTGGGAACCAAGAAATGTTTTAAATGTGCTCCAGGTGGCAGCTGGATTTGATCCTTTGTGTGAGATACAATTGATATGACCAGTGTTAGTAAGATGGAGAAGAGGAAAGATAAGGCAAAAAGATACCAATCATTGAACTTTTGTTCATGTATATGATCCCTTACTGGACTGTATGTGGTTAACAATCAAAAGGAAGATTATAGGTTCTTCTTCAAGAACAGAACATACACCAGTGTAACTAGTAGTAGAATAATGCCATTGGTAAAATTCTGTCTCCATTGTTATCCTTTGTAATTAATAAAGAAAAATCAGGGGCTCTCCCAATATCTGGCATCTTACCTTATATCAATAAAAATATAGAAATATAGAAACTACTACTGGAGTTTAAAGAAGACATTGTGATAAAGAATGGGTTTTAAATGTAACATATAATCTGTATGATTGAATATATATGATAATAATCACTATTGTATGTTATTAAACATACAGCTCACTCATATTCAGATAAATAGCCATAAACTGTAATCACATATTTTCATGTTAACATAATTAGCTATAGGATGAAACCCAAATAACCCTGAAAAGAAAGGTAACAGCATTCTATTCATGTAAATCCTGATTAAATATGAAGCAACTGAAGTGGTCACTTTTACTCTTAATGCAAAGATTTCCACAGAGCTCCAATATGTATGTTAAGATAATGTCTATAATAATATTAAAATATTTCCAGTTTGAGCCACTGAGCATTTTATTTGGCATAGTCCTATCAAAGAAGTACTGCATATATCTCAAGATAAGCCAACCCGCATTTTTCATACTTTTTGTTAAAAATTCAAAGGTCTGTTTTTCTGCAAATGGGCTTGTCCATGAGTATATATGGTATATACAGGTACCTTAAAATAGTATTTCTGTATATACTTGCAGATAAGCCCGTCTGCGGATAAGCCAAATACAATTTTTGGAGTGTATTTTGGCACCTAAAATCCTTGGTTTATCTGTGAGTATATACTGTAGTCCATGCTCACAGCCATAAAAAGACCTCAAGAAGTTGTCTGTTGTTTGGCTCACACTTTCAAGTCTTTCCACTTTGGGTATGCATTTGATTTGGCTAAAGCCTGAATTCTATGCAAAACTGATATTAATTTTCATTCTTCATTAGTCATTCTATTTCCCCTTTTTTCAGATTCTTGTCCAAGCAGTTGAGCGTCAGCTAGCTGAGTAACTTAACAATTGATTTATTTTATAGAATAGTTGACTATATATTTATTTTATAGAATAGTCTTGCCTTCTGCCTCAGCCCCAACATTGAGCTCCACCAGCTCAGGAAGAGTTTCTTATATAGATTAATACACCCTTAAGCTATAAGTTTGAAATATATATACATATATACTATGGTGAAGAATATATATATATATTCACCATAGTAGCTATTACTATAAGAAATTGCATATCAAGACACTTGAGCACATTTTTAAAAAGAGTTTTAAAGGAGTTTAACTCAAAAACATATGTGCTGATTTCTATAAAATTGAATGCAATCTATTCACAATAATATGGTTTTCTTGAAAACTTCATCTCATTATACTGAAAAAACAAGAAACGCATAATCATTTTTGCTTTTCCCATTGTACACCATGAGAAAGCCGAGTTTTCCAAAGTTTTCCAAATCCCATTTCTGATGTGCAGAACCAAATTAGATCAGGTTATCACTGGAGGAACTCAAGGCGCATGAGATTGCTTCTGGAGCTTCTGATCTTGCCTTCAGATCAGATTAGCTGTTCTCTGCATACCCCTAATTTCTACTGAGAAAGATCAGTAGAATATTGATCAGAAGATTGGGCCGATATTAATAAAACATTGTCAAATAACAGCAAATATTTTAAAATCATTAGCCTTCCTAGAACAAAGGATCAATACTTACAATAATAAAAACTATTTAGCTATTGTAAAATAGTGACCTTTCTGTATGTTTTTCTATTATGAAAAATCAAGATGCACATGCATTTTTTAAAAAAAGTGAAATAAATTGGTAACAACAATTATTATTAAAACCTAAAGGCAGTTTTAAAAGCATTATCAGCATCATGGCTTTATCCCACGTTTGATTATACTTCTTGGTAAGAATTTTACAGTTTAGTATAAAATAAGAGCCATAACTCTGACATTTACATTGTTTTTGTAATGCCTAGGTAGATTATACTACAGAATTGACCTTACTGTCTACAAAGTCAAAGAAGATGCCGAGCCAAACATTCAGGATATAATTAGAGAATGGGTAAGTTAGGCTACTTTGCAAACCTCTCTAGATACATTTTAAGTGTGCTTTTGAAGATGTTACTTTAAAGACATATTTTTTAAAAATGTTAATTTAAAAGTGTGATCTTTAAGATTTTATTTTTAAAAAGCACCATTCAGAACTTTTAATTTCTAGATTATTTGTTCAATCTTATGTTCTGTATATCTCAAATACTGCTTTTTATTCTGATCTTTTAAAATGTATAGTTAATTATAATCTTAGAGCGTGTCCAGTGGACATGTGAGACACATTAGAGATCATTGTAATCTTGCTTGCGCTACCGTAATTGTAAGCATGCGTTTCATTTACACCAGGGTGGGCTGTGTATGAATTCCCTGAACCCTCCTTTTTCAACTCTCAGAGCCCTTCAAGATCACATCACTAAAATTCAGTTATAAAATTCATAAACTTAGATCGCAATGATTTTTGGCTGGAAGAAATAAGTTAGACTGGAAGAAGATGAGTGTGGTTTTAAAATTGGAGGAAGAAACATCAATAACTTGCATTATGCTGATGGCACTACTTTGAGAGCTGAAAATGCAACTAATCTGGAAGATCTAGTAATGAAGGTCAAGGACATCAAAGTGAAAAAAATGGGGCTAAAATTAAATAGAAAGAAGACCAAACTAATGACAAGAAGTATAATAATCAGCCTGAACGTTAGAACTCATGATCTCCCAGTTTCTAAACAGGTGTCTTAACCAGTACCCCAAAGTGGCTCTCTCTTTTGTCACGTTTAGTTTACTTTATTCACCACAATCTATATCAGTTTTCTTTTACTGTATAACCACAAACTTTTTGTTGGTGGTGGTGGTGATATAGTTTTTTGTATTTCACTGTTAATAAATGTTTTTCAAAGGGTTGCCAACTGTTAAGGACAAATGGAATCTGGATTAGTAATGTCTGAAGGTTATAAATTCCCCAGTAGTGCCATTGCAACATCATTTGAGTAAGACCCAGCTAAGCCTTCCGCATACAGATTTTCTTCTCAAATTTAAATTTCTGTCACTACTTTGATTAATAACAAATCACTTCCATTATTATGTTATCTAAATCCAGCTTCATGTCTCATGTGTCTTCTAGATCTAAGGTGAATTTAGTGCTTTACATTGGTAGTGAAGATATAGATCAGATAGTGAACATTCTCACCAAGGAATATTGCCACATCCTTTAGAATTCTTGATTGCCTGCAGTTAATCTTGTTGGATTTCCCTAGCATGTTGCTCTGTGCCTTATTTTAAAGACTATTTTTTTCTATAATTAACTCAAGAGAAAATATGATAAAGAACAAAAGAAAATGTATGAAGTAGTTTATGGGTGAGTAGAAGCAAGGGCAGAGAGGTATAGTGAATGATGCTGATTTTAGCTTCCCCTAGCCTTTCCCATCCCCCACCCAAAAAAATGTTCTACAATTTCGGCTTACTATTTCTTACTCTTTTTCTGCCCTTTGCGTAACAACATGAAAGGGAACAGCATGATTGGTGTGGGGGTGATGGTAATAATGATAATTTTATGAAAATAAACTCCTCTGAGAGAGTTTTCATACAAGAACAGAATGCAAAAATTAACAATTGCAGCAATTTTATGCATTTTAACATTTGCATTGTTTTCCTATTTTCCAGTTAATTCAAACCATGGGAGATTGGAATTACACTGTCTGTGTGGTTAGGATAAGGTAGGTACTTGATAGGATAGAAAGAAAATATGCTCTCTTCTGCAGAAGACACTTTTCTAAAAAATATGTCTTTTGTTTTTATAGTGTTCAACTAAATACAGTAAAAAATGGATCAAGAGAAAAGAGAAATGTTGGTCATCAAAGGTAAAATTGTAAGAAATTCTTGTTACAAAAGCTCTGAAATAATTTAAGCAGTTTTGTTATATTTATCAAATGCTAATATAATTGCTTGGGTTTATATCTGTCAAGTAATTTTGCATGGTAGTAACATGAGACTTATTTCCCAAGACTTCATTTCAAGCTATTCTTCAATTACTTGCTTAAAGGTGAATGAAGTGGAAAGAGCCAATGTTATGATTCCTTCTCTGAGCGCTCACTTGCTGGGAAAGATAAAAACAAAGTTTTTATCCAGTAGTTCCATTTATGAAAGTTGTCAAGTTGATGCATGAATTTTACAAGGACCCTACTGGATGCTTCCTGAACATTGTACACATATACATCAGCATCATACAGCCAGCGGGCATTATATTCTTCATGGAACCAGCATATAACCAGAAACATATTCTCCATTATGACATCACATGCTTCTGGGGAAATGTGAATAAATAACTACAATAATATGAATCTGCCACAAGACTTCATTTTTCCCTGCAAAAATCCAACAGTTACCCCACTGGAACCAGTTTCAAAATCATTTGTTTTCTCAAAGACAAGACCGAACTACTCAAACTAGAGTTATGGAAGAGCTGTCACAGAATATTAAATACTGGAATGGCTTGATGAGTGGCTTGTTCATCTTACATCACTTAGTAATTTCCATTAAAGTGATCAAAAGCGCTTAATGTTCAGAATGCATTAATCATACCCCAGTGATAGATGTATGTTTGCCAGCTCCTGAGCCATATGGTGTTTTTGCACCTGGAGCAGCATAAAAAGATCTCTGGACAACAGTAAACTGACAACACATTGTTAATATATTATTAACTTTTTAATAAACGCAGTGTTTTCTCAGTTGTTACTGTAGTGACATGTCTAATTTTTCCATCTCAGTAGTTCTGTTTCCCAATTAAATGACATCTATTGAAAAGCAGAGTTCAGAGAGAATAGTTTTTAAAATGATCATAGCTTGCACTGGATTCTTTTTCTTTTTTTAATCTCTACATTTGCAATCAGTAACTGATGCCATGCCATTTTTGACATCACAGTAATGCCACATATTTCTGTTCCTGCTGCTGCTGCTGTTTTCCCCTGAAAGATCGTACAGATCCTAGGTGTAGCCATATGACCAAGACTAGGTCACATGGGTAAGAGATGTATTATGAAGGGCTCCCTTTTTCCTGTATGTGAATTCCCCATTTTATTTTGCAAATGGCTTTGTTGCCTTTGATGTCATTTACCAGCTCAAACACGCGCTTGCTGAACATTCTTACTACAAGGAATGGCCGTTCTCATAACAAATTAACAGCAAATCCAATCCAACAAAACCATCTGTCACATTTAACAGTCTACTGAAGGACAATTTCCTAAAACTGCATTTTTAAAGAATATAATGCTAAATGGAAAAGCAGGAAGAATTAGTATTTTCATGTAATAAAATCAGTAGCTCTGTTTTATGGTGCAAAATTACATATTACTTTTATGTGCTTTGATATTGACTGTTTTATCTGATCACTAAAACAAGCTAAAACAAGCAATAAACTATGATTTGTTGGCTTTCATTGACCCTAATTAATATTAGTTGTTCCACTGATTCTAGTTCAGATTTTTCGTATTTATGTACAGGGTTTGTTGTTTAGATTTGATTTTTAATGGATTATTTATTTAACTATTTATTGGGGGGATTTTTAATTGTTGTTGGGGTTTCTGATTTTAATTGTGAGCCGCCCAGAGTCACCCATTGGGGGAAGATGGGCAGCATACAAATTTAATAATAAATAAATAAAATTAAGTATAGTTTGTCCAGATTTTAAAAGAGGAAGTAGAAATTTCAAGTCTTCTTTGTGGTTCCCATGTGTTCCCCTGGGAAGAAGGGGTAAGGGGAATTCATGAGACCAAGACATACTTGAGGTTATTTAAGTAAAGCTAAAGTATGTATTTATGTTATGTTCAGGTTACTCAGTGGAGCATCTGAACTCCATATGATTTTTAGGAATTTCCTTTTCTTCTATATTAAATTACTTCTTTTGGAAAGACTTTTCATTATTAGCTGTGATATCACAGGAAAAAAACTCATAAGAATAAAACAGGATATTCAAATATGACATATGCAAATTGACCTTTTTTTAGCTCTTGCATGTTGGTGAGTCCCTTAATGGGACTGATTAAGTAATTAATTTTGTGGATTATATTAAAAATATTGTGATCATACTTAAATGTCTTATTATTAGACTTTTTCTCATTCAGCAATTCTTTTGCAGTTTTGAGGTCCGTGCACTTTTAGCTTACAATTCTACCAACAATGTAAGTTTAGAAGAGCAAACAATTAAGAAGAAACTCCTAAGCAGTAATATCACAGACGGCTTGAGACTCCATGAAGTGAAAGTTCATTCAGTTGGTAAGGGCAAAATTTCTGTCTTTGCTGTATTCTCATTGTTCTGTGCTTTGTAAATATTATTATTGTTATCATCATCATCATTATCAGTGTATAAGAACAATATGTTTTAACCAATAAGTGTAATGCTTTAGGGAATTAACTATTCTAAATTGACCAAGTAAGCAGAAGACATTAAAGTAGTGAAGTCAGTTGCAACATATGAGAAATAAAAATTAATAGGTTTACTAGTTCTGTTCATAGTTTGAAAATAATCTAGACGTGCTTCAGACCTTGCACAACCACGAGCACAGCAACTTTCTGCTGTTGATTCACTCACAGTTGTCATTTTTCAGGTTTATGTGCAAGTCTGAAAAAAATGCCATTATTTTAAGAATCATATTTAAGACATGCACCTTTAATGCTTTAATGAATATTAGAGGATTGATGTACTGGCATGAGATCCAAAACACTTCTTCCAAATTATTTTCAAAGCATCCACTTTCTGGATGTTAAACATTTGATTCTTCCAGTTCACTTTTAACCTAGCAGCCTGGTAGAAATAAATGACATAGGAACAAAACAATGAGAAAACTGAGGCTTCTTGAAGCCATTTGCATTTGTTCCTTCACAAACTAAAAGAATGAGTAGAGATTGTTTATGATTGAGAAAAGTTCTGTACTCTTTTGTGTTGAACTTGTATTCTCAGTGCCCTATGACCCATGTCACAGGTCACTCCTTCAGACATTCAGCTGACCATTCAAGGAAAGTACAAGAAGCAGGAACTTTATGCAAAGGATTTGGTGGCTGATCTGGGAAGGAATTAATATCTGGACAATGGCCCTGGAATAGTACTGCAAAACAGTAATGGAATTCAGGCAAAGCCAGATCAGTGTTAAAACAACAGAACTGAGCAAGAATAGTAAATTTTCAATACTGCATTGCAAGCCAGATATAAGGACATTCAGAATCATTTGGTCTTCAATTCTGATCAATACATTCCTGATTCATTACAACTGTCAGACTATAAACTAGTTTAAAATGCCTTCAAAAAGACATAGATATTAATTTCTCCCAGATTCTAGATGATTTCTGTCTCTAATAGGAAAGTACATTTGTATTCAGAGATGTAAATTTTGTTTCATAAATACTCATTCCACTAGGCATTTGTAAGTAAAAATAACTTGGTAGAAAATTAAAAGTGATTTATTCAGACCAGCCTAATTGAAACAGCTTTTACTAGGAAGCTACAATATTGATGTTAATGTTGTTTTTCCGGATCACTGTTTTTCATTTGCTCTTGTAGAAAAATGTGAAGCTCAAGAACACCCTCTAAATTACCCCTGGAAAGAAACCAGACCAGGCGAGACTGACACCACAGCCTGCCAGGGCAACCCCACCCAGATTGCATCAAGAACATGGTAACAGCTCAAAGATCATGAGATGCTTAATGGAGAGACAAAGATGAAGTATACTACGGGTATAATTAAAGAGTGACAGAATATAGGTTCTTAAAAGTGAAGAAGTAAAGGATACAGAGGGTTTAAAACGATACAGAAGGACTATGTAATTTCATAAGAACCTTCCATATATTGGTTGCTAATGATATTTTCTGTTCTGTGTTATCTTAGCTTTCTAAACATGGATAATTACACATCATATTGGGATACTCCTGATCTTAGAAACTGCACAGGCAAGTATTTGGGTATCTGTTCCCTCTAGATAAATTTGAAATATTTCCTTTCCCAGCTTTTAACACAACTGGGCTTCACCAAGTTAAGAAAAGTTGTTATAGACCTTGATTGCTGATGTAGAACTCTTAAATGCTTTACTGAAGAACTATGCAGAGTTGTGTTAGATTCTAAAAGCACATTCCGCATTTATTTTAGACATATACACAAAACAGAGCATGTGTTTTTTAAAGCATAAATAGTAGACTCTACTCCAAATACTCTATCAGGTTGAGGATTCTTTATTCCTTCTGAAGAAAACTCAAAATATTTTTAGCATTTGGGCATAGGAAAAAATGGGAACTTGGCCCAAACTCACTCACTCCATTGTTTTTCACCCCAGTACCAGATAAGTAGTTTGGGTGGCAGTCCCTGCGGACTAGTAGTAGCTTCCCAGCATGCAGAAAAAATGCTTTAAAGGTAAAGAATCTCTCCCATAGGATAGGTCTACTCATAGAATTGAAGCAGCAATCAAATCAGAAGAGCCTCTTTCCCCCTCACCTCTCAACAAAGAATGCCTTTAAACTTGTTAAATAAAACCTTTGAGGTGTTCATCCAGCATATTAACTCAGGTGAGCTAATCTCTCTCATCAACTGTTTGAGCTACCGCGTGCATAGCAGCAGGAGGTGCTTCATGAATAGGAAGAAGCAGCAGCCCCACGCTGCTTTATTACACAATACAAAAGCAACAACATCAACAAACCACTAGCTCCATAACTAATAGGCAGAACAAATAAATTCCAAAACTCAGACGATGAAAGAAACAATCAAACACACCCAACACTGAGTCTGAAACAGCTAAACAACACGGAACAAAAAGCAGAGTACCTTCACCGGAAGTCCAAAGCAATACGGAGTCTCAAATCTTAGCATTTCTAAGGGCACTCTGGAAGCTCTACTATAGCAGGGCACAAAATATGCCCTGAGTGCATACACACCCTGATGCTCAATAGACCAGTCCAAACCCACACAATGGTATGACCATTTGCTTAACTGCTGTTTCTTCAACACTTGACTTCTCCATTAACCACCCAGTCTAAACCAGTAACAGCACAGACATAACTAGCCCCTGTTGCTCTACTGACTAGACTGGAAAATGTTCGAAAAAGGCAACCCAAACACAAGCTCTCAAAATAGTCCAAACAGAATATTTCAAACAGCACTGCCGGAAATGGCCATTCCGTTCAGAGCTGAAACATTTCTGAACTCAAAACTGAATTCTTGAAATGTATATTTTGTTCCAGCTTGGAGCCAAACTGCTTCAATGTCAAAACATTTTGGAGTTGAAACAGTTTGCCCACCCCTAACTTATTTCTAAGAATTCAAATATACCTAAATCTGTGCTGATCAGGTTGAAACTTCAGTTGTTCTGGTTTCTCCTGAATATTTGTGCTTTATAATAAAATGTGTTAGTCTTAAAAAGTGCTACCAGATTCTGATTTTTGGTTAGGTTAGGGTAAGGTTATAACATGCTGTCCACTCTAGACGAGAATCAAAACCCATCTGTACCGTACTTTTTTGGGACACCAGATTTTCTTGTATTTAGTAAGGAATCTGCTGTAATTGGAAAGGATTTTTTTTTCTGGGACTAACTGGCTTATATTGTTTTCTTTATGTGCTTTCAGAAAATGCTGCTGATATAGCCAATCAGCTACTGAATCTTACAGGAGAAGGACAACAGTTGACTTCAGACAAAGTCAATGATGTGATCCAAAAACTAAAAAAAATTGTGAATGATGAAGAAATCAATGAATCTTTGGGTTCTACTGTGATCACAATATTTTCCAATATTTTAACTAGTTCGGATAACATATTGGCTGCATCATCTTCTGAGTAAGTGTTACAGGAAGCATAAGAGAAAAAGAAAGAGGATCTGTGGGTGTTATGCAGAGTTAAAAAAAATGTTTATATATTGGTAATCCATGAAGGAGATATGAACAGTGTGAAAATTTATCTGCATTTTAGAATTAACTCTTCAAGTGAATATTCAAGTGAATTATTCAAGTCAATAAAGAAATGACACCCAATTCTAAGTATATTAGCATCTTGATTCATGGGCTTGACAGTAAATCTGCTATTTTGATACTAAATCAATTTTTATGTAGGATCATAGCAGTTAAACGAAGTCAAAGTGAAAGGTAGTGTGACAAGATGTGCTAGTGATGCTAATAACATTCTCTAGTTTTAGATACAAGCACAAAAGTACTTCATTGAATCAAATTACTATAACACATTAGCTAAAGTAACATCAATTAACTCTTAACTGCAAATGTAGTCAAAAGGAACAGATGCCCAGAAGAGAGAGGCATTTGTTTTGAAGCAATTGTGGCTCCCAGCATGGCAGTAGAATGGAAATTGTAGTGCCCATTAAAGCTTTTGCAAAGTCTCTCCCATTCTGCCCATACTAGTTGATGGGATACAATAGCTTTTGTGAATAACTATAATTGTATTGCTGGGGCATCAACTATCAAGAGCCTGTATATCTCTCCAGTTGTTGTTGTTCAGTCATTAAGTATCTCTCCAGTATCTGTCAGTTATTACAGGATTTCCCCATCACTATGAGCAAAATAAAAAAATAAAATAGAATTGGACCAGAAAGACAGTGAGGAGCATCATAATCCATTAAAAAAAAAAAGTATGTTCAAAATACTACCATCCTAAGAGAAGGAAGCATTGAAGAAGAAGCAACTTTTCCCTCCTCCAGCACTGAAAAGATGACCTGCGTGGCTTTTAATCTCTCCTCCCAGCATTTTGGAGGCACTGAATATTGGTGACTAGCTGAAGGGAGCTGTGCGTCAGTAGAATATGCTCACCAATATCTGAATATTTTGCAGTTTAATTTTTCTTTATAGTTAGGTAAATCGATGCCAAAGTAATATCCTCTAATATATGCAAAGGGTTCTTTAGACTCAAAATGTTTTTATTCTCATTATTTTAATGAATTTTATATATATGCTTGATTTTAGAGCTATAAAGACAATCGATGCCTTGGCATTGAAGATTCAGTTTACAGGTCCCTCCATGAGCATCTCAACCCGAAACTTAGCACTTGGAGTTTCATCCTTGAATTCATCTTTATTCAGTGGATCTTCCTTCAGTGTTGGTCCCCAGAGCAATGCTTCAGATTTTCAGGTATACCAAGTACATTTACCGATAAGCATTTAAGCTTATTTTCAAGCAGGTTATATTGACAGGAATTCCATTGACTCAACTCAGTGTTTTATGTTGAGTTTGTCAATTTAAGGCAGGGATGAGCAACACATACTTGGTAAGCCACATGTGCTTCCCATTCCATTTCTGGCCTCCAGTACCCCTCAAAGTGAGGCCAGATGTTCATAGGAGGGAGAGTTTCTAAAGGCCAAAATGGATGTCTTGCAAGGTAAAGCACTCATTTTACTCCTTAAAAATTGTTACCATCCCCTACCCCCAAAAATATCTGCTAGGTTTTTCCCACAGGGTTGTTTAAGGGCAAATGGATGCTTTAAGCCCCTAAATATTGTTATGGTCAAAACCTGGCTCACCTAAAGCAACCAAATCACTCTGAAGATACAACATAGTTTTATTTGCATCCAATGAATAAACAGTATATACTGGGCTCCCAGCAAAGCATCAACACTTTGCTGAACAGCCATAAGCAAAAGCAGAACCAGAGCTTATATGCCTTTGGCCCACTGCACTGCAAAGACAAGACAAAGAAAAAGGCAGATACAGTGGAAATGTTTCAGAGAAACCCATCGATATGACATTATTATTATTTATCCCTTCTACCAGGTCAGCATGCTAGCCATACTGTCTTTGAGATAGGGAATAGAATAGAGATATGGAATGAGCTATGGCATAGAATAGAAACAATTTGATTTACCGGGCCACAGGTTCTTGACTGATTCTTCTACCAGTCGCCACACAGGGTCAATTCAGCTTGCTGTGAATGTTTTCTTACAAAGGTGTTTTAAGCAGTTATGGGGGGGCATCTCATAGGTTTGGTAGCAAATGCAGCTGATATGTGTATGGGAAGGAACCTTTTGTCACAATATACATCACAGAGCCTAAGCAGTTTAGTCCAACCCTCTCTGAAGAAGTTATGATATCACTGGCCACGCTGTTTGTGGTTCCCAGCAGGGCACATAAGCAGTGTGCTGTCTCCAGGTTGAAGAATGTGATCCATCTCTGATTTAAGGCTTTGGGGCTGTGTCCTACCTGGTCAGGGTTTTGAGCTAGCCTATGCAGTCATGTACTGTTCCATGAACTTTCAACAGCAAATCAAATAAAGAGACTGACACAAGATACTAGAATTTGAAAACTACTACTATACTTTATTAAACATTATATCTCAAGAGAATCTGTGCCAATGTGCCCCATTCTGAAAGGAGTCTAATTTAATCCATCATGACTTACATTTCTGAGTTGAGCAGTGAGAAGCTCTTGAGGGTGGGCTCAAGGTCCCATTCCAACTGTTAGTTGTTGCTTCACTGGGAGGGAGACAGGCTCTCTTAATGATTGACTTCTCAATGAATGAGAACCAAAACATGCTTAACACTACTGTCCACACATTAAATTATGTAAACAACAGCTGGGAAGAAATGAGAAGTTGATCTTGTAGGATATGAATTATATATAGTGTTTTTTTTTTTTATCCCACCTTTATTATTTTTATAATTAACTCAAGGTGGCAAATATGCCTAATACTCGTTCCGCCTCCTATTTTCCCCACAACAACCCTGTGAGGTGAGTTGGGCTGAGAGTGACTGGCCCAAAATCACCCCACTGGCTTTCATGCCTAAGTCAGGACTAGACCTCACAGTCTCCTGCTTTCTAGCCTGGTGTCTTAACCACTAGACCAAATTGCTAAATGAAAATATTTTCCAGTGAATTAACATTAATGTTGATCTTGTAAAAATAAACAATATTAAATATAATTTGATATTTAAGATTAATAGAGAAGATTTTAAATTTTTCTTATAAGGGCATAATCTTATAAACCTAAGCAAAATAAATATTAATTTATTTCCATAACCCCAAGGAAGGGCTAAAACTTGTTATTAACTAAATAATTATGAATTCATATCAAATTATATATTCCCTCATTCAGCATGGAAAATACTTTCTATTTTTATGTTGATAGAATTTTTTTCATATTTCTGTTTTAGATTGATTTTGATAAAAATCAAGAAAATTCCCTTGCTACTATTACTTTGCCTCCAAGTTTGTTAAGGAATTTAAATCAAGAAGAACGTGAAGCTATATCCAGGGCTCAGTTCACTTTTTTCAATAAAAATGGACTCTTCCAGGTAAGCATCAATGTGCTCCACTCACTTTAATGATCACATGAAAAATATAGGAATACCGAAGTTTCTCTTTATAATTTTGGTGAGATGTTACAGTTTTTATGACCCTATTCAGACACTATATAAATTTAGGGAGAGGGCTAATAGGATGACATTCATTTTATCTCCATGTGTTCATTATCTGATAAAAACTTTTGAAGGCTTTTACAATAGATCGGCAACTATATTAACAGAACCTTTCTACTGTAAAAACCAATTTAAATGTGATGTGAATTGCCTGATGAAATTAAAGGGCAAGTTTTTAAAAATATCAATAGCCGCTCTTTTTCTTTTTCTTTCCATTTGCTTTTATTTTTGTCCCTGGTTTATTCTTATTTTTAACCTTGGTATTTAAAAAACAAATCTTGATATTTTATTTGGAAAGTTTAAAAAAACTTGTAAAATGCACAGTTGTAGAGGGACCAAAGAATACCAGAACTACAGGATTTGAAAAGGGAATGTAAACACTTCCTCGTTATACTGTTGTTATCTCTATGAGCTTTCTCGAGTTCTGTGATCTACCAAAGAGGTCCTGCTCTCATGTTGAATAATGCACTGACGGGTAGGAAGAATACTCTTCCCAATTGCCTCACAGCCTTGGAACGTATTCCCCAGTGAAATACATATGGACCTCTTTATTTCTGGTTTTTAAAAGAATTTTGAAAACATTATTATTCCACTCTGTGTTTGGTTAATTTTGCTGGGGGGGGTTTTCTTTTTCTTTTTGTTTTTGCAAACTCTCTTATGGTGCAATATGGCCTGAAAAGCAGGGTAGCAATGCCTTCATAAATAAACATTTACATTTAATTTGGGGAAAGTGTTCAAATAATATGTAATATTAATCTGCCTCAAGATTTTATAAGGAGCATGTGGAGGTCAACAGTACATATTCCAAATATTCATACAATAGAGCTTCTATATGCAGTGGGAATAAGTGATACATGGGCTTGGAATATGATTATCTGTTTTATTTAAAATAGAGTTCGGATGCTAATAAATTCAGTTTAAATGTGAGCATTTGTTCGTAAGTACAAGATTTGGTAGGTACAATAATTGTGCCTGCTCTGTTTTCTTCCTTGTACATATAAGAAGTCCTTTCTTTTCAAGTAATTTTATTAAAGATTATAATTACAATAATAAAAACTAATGCAAAATAAAAGAAAGGTAGAAAAATAGAAAGAAAGAAAAAAAGAGTAACTGTCTGGAGCACTTGTGGGCGATCTCCCATCTTCTCTTTGTCCAGAGAGGTTCAAACAGCTGGTCTACTTACTGGCTCTTTGTTCTTCATGGAGCTGTCTTCAGTCCACCATTTCTTCCTCCTATAAGAAGTCCTGAGTTTTAGAAAACTTTCAGCAAAATATCTTTTTATATTATATTAAAGCAAAGTTCCAGAAAGAAGCGTTGTTTTTCAACAGTTTGTTTCCTGCAAGTCTTTTCTAATGACCTCCAGATTATCCACGTTGTGCTGGCATGTATTACATGTTTTTTATCAGAATGGTAGCTAGTAATTAAAGATAATGTAACTTGGCAAATCACCATGACCAGCCACTGTCTTTTAAATACACTCAGCAATGTGTAGAGTTCTTAGTCTGTACATTTCAAAATGCCTTTACAACAGAGAAATTTACAGTGGACAAAAAAATCAGAGGCATATTGTAATTGGAAACTATGTTGTGATATCATCCTAATGAAATATAATGAGGGAGCATTCTTAAGCTTCCAGAGGGGGAAGGCAGTTTAAGAACCAGTGGATGATCCATATGTAGTCATGCAGAAACAGAGGCAGGTGAAGATATTCTGGTCTTCTGAACTGTCCTAGTTTGACAGGAACTAGATTATTGTCAGCCTTACTAGGTAGAACAGACAGGAAACACAAGCAGATGAGCTAATTCTACTTTATTGTAAAGCTACATTAACAGAATCTTGCAAGTCTGAAACTACAATTCTCCTCCTGTCTCCTTTACAGCCTGAGAAATTAGGGTCTCTTCTAAGCCTCTTGCCCTGCCTGCTATCCATCTGTGGGCTATGCTGTCTCTTACCTGACTGTTCCCTAGGCAGCATCTCTTGGCCCATTCTCCCAAGGCCATTCCCACATACCATTACAATTATCTTCAAAGTTTCTCCCTGCCAGGCCTAAGGGAGAACTAAAAAGGAGGCACTGGTACAAGAGCAGAGATGTTTGCTTCCTATCCCATATGATTTATAAAGTATAATACCATGTCTGGACTGTTTAATGTTGGACATAAATGGAGAGGGAACAGATAGCTTTGCCCAGTTTGGGTGTGTTCTCATAGAGTTTTTAGCTTATGTTCCACTAACAGAGAATTTCAACATACTATCTTTGAGGGAGTGCAACACTAGAGTGAAAAGTTTCCCCACTCATGCATTAAACATTAATATTTTATGTATTGGTATTAACAAGCCACAGGATTTTTTTCTTTTCCATCTCTTTATCAAAAGACATAATGAGTAAAAGACTGGAAGCACCTATTTCCATTTTTAAAGTAACATTGTCCTTGTGCAGTCCCAATTTAGAATGCAAATCAGGGTTAAACCATGGCTTATGTGAAGAGGTATACTGAAATAATTGGATGAGTGAATAGATAGGCAGTTTGTGAAAACACACCAGGATATTGGGGGGGCAGGATTTGAAAACTGTATGTCCATTATCTTTTGGATGTTTCATAATATGTAGTGTGTAAAGGAGTATTATAAGTACAGCTAGAAATAAGTATGATCTCCTTTCTGTAGAGAAGTTTTGTTATTATGGTAAGAAAGCTATTCCATTCTTAGATTGGGAAGTAATCTAATCATGTCATTAGATATCAGTCAGCTTTGTTTGTGGATTAACTCAGGTTTGCCTCAAACAAATGCTGAAAGGGAAACATTTTCTCAGAATGAGTGTAAAGCTTTCCTTATAACACTATACATTGCAGTAGTAAGGGAAATAGCACATTTCTGGGAGGAAATGCAACCTCTTAAAATAATAAACAGGATGTTCTTATAATCAGGTAATATTAAACATTATGTACTGGCAATATTTATTCTGGTGATGTGGAGAAATTTGTGAACTCTTGTTACTATTGTGGGGGCTTACAAAACCACATTTTTCTATAAATCTTTAAATTAATATCCTAAAGGATACAGGAGCTCGTGGCAACTTAACCAGTTATGTGGTAGCATGCAGCGTGGGGAATACCACTATCCGTGATCTCAAGGAAGCTGTGAAAATTACAATTAAGCATACATTTAAACATGACAACATTCAGGTAAGAGATTTTCAGCTTTTGTTTAAAATATAATTAATTAAGTTAGAGTAGGAAAATAATTCATTTGTCTGTACTGAGCAGGAGGGGGAAAAAAGTAGCTTTTAGAAACAGAAATGCCTCTACAAAATACACATATATTGAGCAACCTCTGAATTATTTTTTGTGGCCCCAGGTTTTTTTGTCTCCAAAAACAACCCTGAAATCAGAAATCTGGGAGACAAAAAGTGAAGGTGAAATTTCCTGCCCTTTGTGAGTTGAAAATACTGTTCATAAAGTTATAGGGTAACTCTTAAAATAAGTTAAACATAGATCAGAAACTTTGTTTTCTCCATACACTTCTGTCCCACAAAAAACTCTGTTGTTTGTGATAGCTGCATGGGTGCTTGTTCAAGAAAACATGTGAACTGTAAGTAAAAGTTCCTTAAACATGTTAGCATTTGTTTTTCTTCCCAAATAAGAGAGGCTGTGTGCAGATTCCAGTTGAATGTGCACGAATCATTGAGGTGTTTCAGGCAACCCGTGATGTCTCTGCCTTTTCATGACTGTTAATGGGAGGAACTAGGGAAAGGGAAGAGCAGACTGGCCATTACAGGAGCTCTCACTGCTTTTCTTTGCTGAGAAGCTACAAAGCAAAACAGGAATACCAGTCAGGGGCTTTCATGTAAACAAGAAGTCACTATATGGGAGGAAAGTGGCCTGAGATACAGGAACATTTTCAAGGACAATTGGCTATTGCTAGAGAGGGTACATTCCCTAATCCACAGTCACCAATTAATACCTGCAAGTGCTTTCTACATTTGCAGTCACTTTAGCTCTTTGTTATGGGACTAAGAGTTTAATTCTACTGTTTTGAGGCAGCCACAAAATTACAAAGGATATAATCTTAGAAAAAGGAGCATGTTTTTCAAACAAATGATTTCCTCACTAAACAAATACTAACGTCAGAAAAATGGATTTTCTTCAGGATGGCATTACAGAAAAAAAGGGTTAAATTTCACCACCATGTCTGTTTTGGTCCCAGTAGTTAACCAACCATCCATGTTTATATGCATGTTCAAAAGTTTGCATTTTTAATTGAAAAGGCTCATTTAAGATTGTATCTAATTTGTTCTTTAGTCATTTATCTCAGCTTACAAGATTAGAACAATAAGTTGAAAGAAATGTAGTTGGAGAATTAGCTTGCTGTGCTTAATTAGTAATATTTTAGAAGAAGTTGCCTTTTAATTCATGGACTTAATGGAGACGCAATTTGGTTTCTTTATTTTGCTTGTTTAAATTTTAGAAGGCTCCTAATGCTACTTGTGTCTTTTGGGATATGAACAAGAACAGTAAGTTTGATTTTTTTTTTTCCCTCTTCTTTGATATGGAAAATATAGGGAATTTTCTGAAATCTTTTTATCTACTAAGCAGTAAGACAGAATTCACAGTCACATTCAAACTTAGTAATAATTATACAAGAGGTAAAGTCTAAAAGAAGTTTGGACTAACACCAGCACTGAGCCTCCCTCAAGTGGAGAACCCTTTAATATAATCCAACTATCCATTATAGATGAATACTTTCCATATGTTTATTTGGGATTTGCCCATTGAATTGTCTGGTAATCCTATTGCAGTTCAGGCCAAACTCTGGAATCAGAAAATAGACTGGAAAGTGATTACAACTAAGCAACTTCTCCCATCCAGATATTTGGTTTTCTAGAGTAATGAAAAAGGGTGTTGATGGAGGGCAGTTGTTGAAAGTCTTAAGATACATCCAAGTGAGCACAGGTTAGATTTTACATTATTTTCTAGTTTCTGATATGTTGGGAATAAAGACCTTTTTTAGGCCAGCAGCCTCTACCAAATACCAGCTGGAGGAGCTACTTCGAGTACTGAGAGGTGCATTATGAAGGACAAAGGACAAAACAGATGGAACCTGGTTGTTCATATCCTTTGTCTATATCCTCAGGTCACAGATAATCTTCATCCCATAATTTTTTGGTCTGCCTTTGTGTAGCCAGACTAGAAGGGTTGATAATATAAGCAACATTTTGCTGAAAGTATTTAGTAATCATGTCATAGCAGTCGTGAACAGTTTATGAACCCCTCCATTTAGAATAAATAGAAGCATACTATGATCCATTGAGGAAAGCTGCTCAGGGCTTTAAATTAGCTTGTTGCCCACCTTGCTATCACAGAGTTGTAGAAGCATCTTCAGTGACAGTCAAAATGGGAAGCACAACCAAGCAACTGAAGCCTCACCCCTTTTTAAAGTGCATCTCAAGTATCACACATAAAAATGGCAATGCTTCAGTCACCCAGTCACACCTGCCATTTTGACATTATTGACTGTCACTGTAGACACCCCTGCACAGTTGGCTTGTTAAACCTACAGTGTATTTAATCATTCCATCATCTTTGTTCTAGTCACCCAACCTGTGGTAAAGCAGAGAATAAACCACTATAGTTTAGTACCCTCAACTTAAACATTAAGATATGTTAGACTTCCCCCTGCCAAAATTAAAATCTCCATCTCTGTTCGTGGTCTTCCTTTAAACAGGATTGATAAAATGGGGGGTTGAGATGCAGTCTTTTCTTTGGTACCATCAGGATAAAGAAATATAGTATCCTTCTTACAAAGATTTACTGGGCTATCTTTTTAAGACTTTAAGTAATTGTTGAAAAACTTCCTATTTCCGTGTACTTTAATGCTTGATCTTCATCATTTGTTACCTGCGTCTTTCACTGTGTTCATTTTTGCTTGCATTATGGTTGTTTTATATTGCATTATTGTATTTTTTTTAATAATTCTTGTATACTGTTTTCATATGTTGTACATATGAAACACACAGGAAACATACAAAAAGGGGGGGGTGATGATGATGATGAAGAAGAACAGTCTTTCTTCATTGATTATTCTAGGAGGCCAAGGTGGATGGAATGATACAGGCTGCTATGCACTTGCAGAGTCAAATGAGAATGAGACTATCTGTCTCTGCAGTCATCTGACACACTTTGGTGTATTGATGGTAAGTGCCAGTCTTATTCATTTGTGACATTTGCTTACTTCCTTGAGGTACTTTTATAATTTTAGTTAAATGAGCTGTTTCTGAACATACCAAACATTTCATGAAACATTTTTATTCTTTTGCCCTGAATTTTAGTATTCTTGACACCACAGCATGGTATTAGGCCTTAGATGAGGATATGTCACCTAATGTTATCTACACAGGAAACCATATGGGAAACACATCCTCATCCACAGTGTTTAGTGTTGATAGAAATATCATGTGCTTTCACTTATCCTGCTTTGAGCCCTATGCATACAGTTAATTATGCAACACAGAGGACTACACACAGCTCTTTTGCATATTCTTACATATTGTGGTCCAGAGTGAGAATCTGCTATAAGAATTGTACTTCTGTTCCTGTCTTAGGAAAATAACTTCCATTTTTTCTGGAATTTATCTGGCTCTTTTCCTTCCCCTCCCCCCCGCCCCGGTTAATTCTTGCCCTGTTGAACCATCTTTAGGCAAGCCAAAGAAATAGCAACTGTGTTAAATATTGAGTTTCTTAAAAACATATGATAACGTTTAGACAACCATTTCAGCTTGTCTTCTTGATATTGACAATCCCCAAGATATTTCTGTGATCTTCTGTCTAGGACAAAAGTTAAGCAGGTACACAAGATTTGATTTAACTGGTTTAAATTATTTTTTTTAATGTAAGTTAGGTTTGAAATATCAAGTTACAGGGTGAGAATGAGTTTTTTCCCCACTCCTTCCATCACGCTTCCCTCCTATGATTTATAGTACATCACAGCCACAAAGTTTAATATATGGTTTCCATGGGCCTAGTAATGTGGCAGCCTTTTTTATTTCCTTCTCAAGATTGTTCTGTTCTGCTTCCTCATATTTTTCAGAAAGGAGAGCATTCCTTGAGATAAATTCAATGTGTCCTTTCTCCTGCTGTGAGAACTTTTGTAAGGGTTTCAGAAATGAAGAGAGGGGAAAGTCTTTAGAATCCTGGCAGCATTCCAATCTGAAAACTTTAATATTTTCTGGCCAGTTCTTTTACTTCATTATCCTAATAACACTTCCAGGATTATTTCTGTGCAGAAATGTATGAACCTTTCCAACCTACAGCTGCAGATAAGACATCATGAGGCAGGGGTGCCCCTCACCAGATGGATGTTTTCACCTCTTTAGTGGCTGTGTGCTTTATAGTACAGTACACTTTCTGTCTCTTTCAGCAGAGTTAACATCGCTAACTTCAGATGCTGTCATTATCCTATTTCACTGTTTTCTCAGAAATGCTTAATGCTGAAAGACTATACATAAATGCCTAGGGTAAAAGCCCCTGGAGCTCAGTGGGACTTCAGTATAAATAGGTATGAATGTGATTGTGCTATAAGAAGCATTTTTGTATGGCCACTGTCACAAGCAGGTTGACACTGAGTTGTTCTGAGAAAGGTAAATCACTTGGAAAGTGACCCTATACACAGAAACTACAGTCTGCCTATCCTTGCACTGTAATGAATCTGAATTCACTCAAATCTGAATGAATGGAAAGTCTAAGGGTGTCATCATTATCAAATCCCAAACAAACAGCATGTTTTTAAATCCTATCAGCTGCTTTAACTAAGGAAAAGCTTTTTCAGAGGTGGGAAATTTTGTAGTTGAGAAATAGCAATGAAAGCTGTTTAGTCCCCTTTCCCCACATGAAATTACCTCAGCCTTTGTGATGCCTCCACAAGATTGCAGTTTCATGTTTACCTGTGCTATTAAATGTTAGGGACCTGGCTGGGGGGAAAGTAAATTGAGCGGGTGAACATGTGTAAGAAAATATTCTTGAAACCATTGGGATATCAATCCTCATTTTACTCATTCATTCATTTAATCAATTTATATGGCCACCCATCTTGCTTTGGTGACTCTGGGCAGCTAACACACATATAAACACATTACAAAACAAGCATCAATAAAGAACAACATAAAAAGCCTACAATGGCAGCCAAGGGCAAAACCCAATCAACAAGAAAATGACATCTCATGGGCTCCAGCTAACCTCCTGACCCCCGTGCCCAGGAACAAATCCAAGTTTTAAAGTCTTTTATCTCCTCGTACATGTTTCCAATGCTCCATTTATTTTTATCAAGCTGTGACACAGTACTCAGACTGAAGTTCCCAAATGGCTCTATAAAAGAACACCGGAATACATTTTCACACAGCAAAATGTCATATATGACAAGACTGTTAGACTTTCTGGACTTTTTTATAAAGCAGCATTCCACTGATAAAAGAAAATAAATCCTGACTTCTAAGGAATGCTGAGGAAATAGAAGACTGCAAGTGGAAGGATTACCTACTAAATACTTTTTGTGATCTACAGGATGAAATGATATAAACTATAATGGCTTGCGTTCGCTGCTCATTCCAGCTGTTATGCAACATGCCCTCTGACTTCAGGAACTGTAGGAAGGAAACCAGAGTTGTGACAGCGAAGTACTAAATATATCAAGTGCGGTGTTTTTGGTCAGCATTGCCTATGACTTTCATCTTTGTTGTTGTCACAGGAGAAAATAAACAGGGTTTTCAGAAATGTATTTCTAACAGATTATATACTTTGTTCATTTTTCTGCATAGGATTTGCCAGGAACAGCTTCACAAATAGATCCTGGAAATACCAGAGTCCTCACTTTCATAACATACATTGGTTGTGGAATATCTGCCATATTTTCTGCTGCAACTCTTCTGACATATATTGCTTTTGAGTAAGTATTTGTTAAATAATACTTTTAATTACATTACAGTAATACTTTTCAATCTAATCAGTGTTGCCCAAAATCATTCTGTGGAGAGAGCAACAAGATCAAATTCAAAGTTCAGGTTATTGTCAGTGACTATGAGAAATCAATAAAATTTCATAAATGTAAACCCTGATCCTTAGTCTGCTGTATCAGCAAGTAGATAAGACATGAGTTTTATTTGTGGCAGGAATGTTGTTTTGATGTTGCAAACAAACCAGAACAGATGCCTATAAATAGAATGGCAAAATATTTTTTTAATTCCTGAACCAGGTAAGAATTTGGGATATCAGTATTAAAATTCATCTCTTACCAACTTACTCTGTCTATCATACATGTCCATAGAACACACACACAGAGGTCCATGTGATACCTACAGTTGTTTTAGGGATCCAGACATACAGTTGTTTTCCTGATAATAGTATCCTGGTATCTATGGAAAAATAGAATCAAACTCAAATTACAAAACAATCTGCTCTGATAATAAAAATACCACTTAAAAGCAAATTTATATATCTTATTTTCACAGTAGAAAATTGTGAAAAAATGATAACAGTAATTATTTATCATTTATAATAATTGTGAACAGCACAATGCCTTTGTAGGGATTGTCAGCATCTACGTTCTATAGGAATGGCCCTGCTATGAATTACATTACATTGTATATTGATTGCATATGGATTTTGGGATCATGTTCTGAATGATAAAAATTCATTCAGGAGTAAGAATTTTGTGTTTGTGCATTTTAGAAGGGACAACCACAGGATACTATCCAATATAATGTTAAGTGTACAAGTTTATTAACGGACTTACCTTTTATCAGTAGACGTGAGTACACCTATCCGTGTGTTCTGTTATGGCCTAAATAATTCCAAGGTTCAAAAAAAGGTCAAAAAGGAATGTTTAAGGGATGGAATTCTTACTCGACTACATCATAATTTGCTATCCATTTATCACCAGAAAACTGCGAAGAGATTATCCTTCTAAAATCCTAATGAATTTGAGCACAGCTTTGCTTTGCCTGAATCTGGTCTTCCTCCTTGATGGTTGGATTGCATCATTTGACATAGAAGGCCTCTGCATTGCTATTGCAGCCCTCCTGCATTACTTCCTTCTGGCGACTTTCACCTGGATGGCCCTGGAAGCTGTTCATATGTATATAGCTCTAGTAAAAGTGTTCAATACTTACATTCGCCGATACATATTAAAATTTTGCATCATTGGTTGGGGTAAGTAAGGTTTTTACAGTTTTTGTTTTTAAATTAGCATTCTAATTAATTTAATGAAGTCAGAGCTACAACAGAAGTACAGTAAATGTATGAGGATTATTTTGCTTTTCTGGTTTTTTTCTTCCTCCTTTCCCCCCTTGTTTTTGTCTAAATTAATACTTTTTTTAAGTTGCAGGATTCTCCCCAAACAGTTTGTGGTATTCTACACGGCTACATTTATAGTCTTAAAAGTTTTAAATATTTCATATATTTCATTTCTTATTTCAATTAATTTTTATTCCTAAAAGTGAGCTCTTTCCTTTAAATGTATTTACATAATTTTATTTGACTAATTTATGGAAACTGATAAAGTGCCAGGGAGTGGTTGCTTAGAACTTATTGGGTAGCGTAATATATAATTTTAAGGCATTCATATGTTCCAGATATAAATATTGCTGATTTAAAGAGCTTGACCAAGTGATAATCTCATAAATAGTTTTGAACAGTTCTTGGACAAAAAAATTAGAATTCTTAGGCTGAATAATCCTAGTTTTTATTAGACCAATTTCCAGCCATGGATGCTGTGATTCCTCCCCTGGATTCCTTGTTTTCATTCAGTGAAGCATTTGCTTGGTTTGTTTTACAAATAAAAAAGTGCCTGATGAAGTTACATTCATACAAGAAGGAGAAGAAATGAAGCTGAAAGCAGGGGATGGGTTTATCCCTTTATGTACTTTATGTATCAGTTGTTTTTATTCTGTGTTATACTGTATATATTCATGGCTACAAGGAGCATTTTCATAGCATAATCTTTATACATTATAATCTAATGCAGCACAGTAGTAACTGTTTCTTCTATAAAGCTAAGGAAAAATTACTAAAGAAAATATAGGAATTAATTGATAAATATGTTGCCCATAAGAATGCATTGTGAAGATTATATTGATTAATGTATTCTTTGAAGTATGTTATCATTTGTATATAGTACTTCTGTTCTACTCCTTCAACACTGCCCTAATTTCAAAATTGTTTTCAGGTTGGAAGGAGGGACAGCTTTTATTTATAAAAACATGCAGTGAATAGTGATTCTGATAAATAACCGTACAGTTCATGAAACAAAGCTCCTATTCACTTTTTTTCCTCCTTACATTTGAAATTTTTGAATTATGGAAAAAGCTTTGAGGGCTTGAACACAATTGTTGTATGCAACAATTCATAGAAAGAAATACAAAGCTGTAAACATCAAATACAGCAATAATCTAATTTGTAAGTAGATTTCATATAATTTTAACTATCTTCATTGTTGACACCCATTTTGAGATACTGTACAAAATACCAACCACTAATCTAGAATGGAATGTTAACCCACACATTATTGACATTGGGCTGACTCCTCAGAATTCAGATGGGTTGGAATGTGATTTTCTATAATATGTAATCATTAAATGTGCCCTGAAGTCTAATAAATTATTTTAAGAACAATTTAGGTGGTCCAGCATTTGTCAGTTTAGCAGAGAAATGGTGCTGTCCACCAATGAAGATTTTTTTTATACACTTTGTTACCAGTTGAAATTAGTATCTAGAATACATCATCACTACCTTCTCTTTAAAAGAGTGGGTTAATCTTTATTGCCTGCCCTTGCTCATATGTAGGACCACTCTTATGCACGGCAGCTACTTAGAGCAAAATGCTGAAACTGAAATCTAGTGATGTTTTGTTGAGGATGAAGCTGTTTCTTTTAAGGAAGAGAGATTTCACCCCCAGAGGTGTTCTGCTCTGGGAAGTTGGAGAGGATTAGGAATTCTAGAGAAAGAAAAAGTCAGCTTGTCCCAGTTAAGATATGCCCTTACCGGTGCAGCATCACATATAAAGCCTTTTACTATTATTTTATTCAGCTATTTCTCTCTTGAGGTATTTGAAATGGGACAGAAATACAAGTCAAGCTGAGCTACATTAATGTACCTCAGTGATGCATTACCAAATGGCAGATTTGTTGTTATCTGTAGTACATACACTGCAGCTTAAAGTTAACAATTATAGTGAGTATTTGAAAACAGATTAATGTAGGAAAAAGATGAATGCTAACAATTTTGTTCACATCAAAAAACTCAAATCCACATAGGCATAAATCGATAATCATTGTGTGTGTGTGTGTGTGTAGTGATGTTCAATAGTTTTAGAAATATTGATAATTGATAATAAGCAAATTAATGCAACAGATAAGCTACTGTTGCATTAATTTCTCTATTAGATGGTGTAGCAGGTGGCTGAGGTTCACAAGATGGAAGGCTGGAGGTCCTACCTCTTTTCCCAGAAACTTCAAAGGTCTTCACGCACTTGTCCAGCTTCTGCTTTGAGATAGCAGCTTGGTACTTCCTGCTACTACCATTTATCTTCTGGGGGGGTCCCTCACTTAGCATATACACTTTATTTCAAAGGTTTGAGAGAGATAGGACTGTTACACTCTATCCTTCCTTTCTGGTGATTGAAAGGTCAAAATGCAGAATTTGAAATAATTTCACCTCTTGGTCATGCAGCATATAAGTACAGTGACTAGAGAGTTCAGCCCTTCCTTCCCCCGTGGAAGGTAAACCCAATCCCACAGAAGATAAACAAAAATCTACATGATGAAGATCCATGTGTACTCATGGAGATGTGGACTGTATGTCTGTATCTGCAGTTTACATTCACAGCAGATGGGTTATTATACATTCATTAAACATCCTATTGCTATGTTTTATTTTATTGCAGGTTTACCAGCACTGGTGATCATTATTATTCTAGCAAGCACACATGCAAATACAAATCATATTTACAACAAAGTTCTATATGGCAAAAATAATAAGGAACAAGATGGAGATGATTTGTAAGTATTTGGTATAAAATGTAATGATGCAGACCCCCTAGTACATGCTTATTAATCATTTTTGAAAGTGATGCAAATCCAATAGAGTATGTATATCAAATGCTGATAGTAACGGCAAATACAATAAAGGCAAAATTGTCATGATCTTCTCCCTTCCAAAGAGCCAGTTAAGTGAGCCTTCCACTTTGTTTAAAATGTAACACAAATAGTTCTAGATGTTGGATGAGGAAGAAGCATTATTTAGTGGGAAACTATATGCGTATGCAATTTCCTTACTAAGTAGGGACGTGCATGTAGAAGCTTGTTCTCATAATCATTTCTCTCCTAGTTGGACTGGGGCACGTGATTAATAATATTTCAGTAATGCAGTATTTTGAGTTTTTATTTTGCCTACTATGTCAAAAGTAGTGATGATTCTCCTGGAAACATTTAGTAGAAACCACTGACTTAGGTTGGTGCACGAGTGGCATTTACTTCACATGATTGTTCTTTATTCATTTTGTTGTGGACTTAAATGTCTCTGCCCATGTAACTCCAGAATCTGATAAGGTCAACTTTCCAGACACATGTGCATGAATGGTTCAAAATGGAGATAGTCATATTTTTTATCTGCACTTTATGTGTTTGCTGCTGAAAAGTCTAATATAATACCAGTATCGTGACACAGCATTTATTAGTTCTGCTCCTGCTGGAGTTAACCTCCACTGAAATCAAAGGGATTAACTTCCATTTATATACTTTTAGATTGAAATCATTGCTCATAAAATGTATGTGTATGAGGCATTTATTTGAATTTTTCACTTCAATGTAAACAAATATGTTCCTGGTGAGATAACCACGCACCTTCATTGTTCATAGGATGTTTTCATATTGACTAAATTCCATATCAATAAATATTCAGGCTGCAGTTTTAGGTTTTATTAATGCAGCCAGAGATGGTTATAAAATTAGGAATGTTACATTTGGGATAATACCTATCAAAACATTGAAGTTCTTTGGACAGATTTCAGGAAATCAGAAAGAGTTTGTTCCTATATCAACCTAATGGATCAAAAGAAGCAACAGATTTTAAATACTCAGATTTGTTCAGAGAAACTCTCAATCTTCACTGAGACAGTGGTGGTAATATTTGAAGCATCTAGAAGTGCAGAACAGAGTATCCAATTCTGAGCTTGTTTGATTCTTGTTAATGTTTCTAAATGGTTGGTATCGGGGAAGGAAGGAGGGAGGGAGGGAGGGAGGGGACAGTTAGTTTTCCTTCTATTCCAACTCACCCTGATATACAGCTTTGAGGAAGTAACAGCTAAAGCACAAAACTGATGTGTAAAGTATCCCAAAGCAACCAGAATAAATGGACAACCAATTTTGTATAACATAGAATTAATATTTTCTTTACAGCTGCTGGATTAATAACAGTATTGTATTTTACGTGACTTGTGTTGGCTATTTTGGAATCATGTTCCTCATGAACATTGCCATGTTTGTTGTGGTGATGATGCAAATATGCGGACGAAATGGCAAACGAAGCAATAGGACTATGCGGGAAGAGATCCTGAGGAACCTTCGTAGTGTTATTAGCCTGACCTTCCTCCTAGGCATGACGTGGGGTTTTGCTTTTTTTGCCTGGGGGCCTCTATATCTTCCTTTTGTGTACCTCTTCTGTATTTTCAACTCATTGCAAGGTAAGTAATGGACCATTTTGGAAAATCAATATTAATAATAAGCTTTGGCAACTTACAGATTCAAAGGTAACTGTGCATGGAATTATACATTATGTAGCAGTATAATAGATACATTGTGCTTAAGCATTTGTAAATTAAAGCTCATTTCATCAGATTTATTCATTGTTATCCATGTGTGTATATGTGTGTATACACACACACAGTATCAATAGTAACAATTACACAGTATAAATAGTAACAATTCACATTACAATAATTGATGATAATGGAATTCATAAGCATTGTCCTACCATGGTGGGTGGAACTGCCTGGAACTGGAAACCAACAAAATCTGGAAGTTCTTCAACCTACCATAGGAGCATGTTCTGATTGTTTCAAGAGAGTAATTCATCTAAGTCTCTGGAATTAGAAATGTGGAATCTGCACATTTCTGCTTTCCAACTTGAAAGATTATTCAAAATGTCTAATTTAGAATTAACAAGGCACTCCAAAACTAAGCATAAAATGTTTCTTATTGTTGAAATATTTTTTGTCTTCATGATCATCATCATCATTTGCATTTAGGCAGTACAATTTGTAGAGATATATTCCTGAACAGATGTTTTATACTACAAACAAGTTAGAGTTTCTGCAGTGCTTTCCAAATGACTTCTTAAAAGTTAAGTCACATGTTTGAGAAGGAAGGGGAGGGAAGTTTGGAATGAAACAGTGGGTAATGTTCCAAGCTATTACCCATAGAGAGGCATTGGGGAACTTGCTTCTGAATTTTTCTCTCTCTATTTTTATGAGTAAGGTCATGGAATCTGGGTTCTTATCCCAAATCCAGCTGAATTATTGGTTGTTCTTTGAAAATCCAGTGAGAGTGGGATTCAACATTTACACATTTTTCAAAGAATCCACTGTTCTTAGGAAGAAGAAGGTTTCCAATTTAGCAAACAATCCTAATAGTAGCCTGTGTAAATTAGTTAGAGGAATTAAATAAAAGAACTTGAATTACAAGTTGAACAGAATTTTTTTTTAATGTTAAGCAAATTTGTTACTGAAAAATACAATAACATATCATAGGTACCCACTTCTTAAGCAGCTGTGCTCTATTTGTGAAATTGTTCTGATCTGCTTGTTAATATACTGTATGTGAACCAAAGCAAAACTCAGCAAAGTTACTATAGCTGTTCCCTTAGCAAATAAAAAGGCCAGGTGCCTCTGAGAAATCATTCAATGGACATATTATTTCATTGTACAACTTGTGTATCTATAGGTAATATGAATATTATATAAATTATATTCAAAATGTTGTGGTTAGAATCAAATTATGTAAGCAGTGTGAATCTAATTACTCTCCCTATTGAATTCTAGATAGCTGTATATTAATAATGTCATGTTCTGATTATATACATTTGTTTTTCTTTACCAGTGCCTATATTGCAAAGTTAACACATAAAATGATTATTAATCTACAACATACAGTATGCTATAGAGACCTGTAGTAGTCTTGAAGTATAGATGTGGATTTTTAAAAAAACAAACAGAGAAATAGAGAAATGTTATGGTATTTTTAAATTAATAAAATGGAAAAATACTATTTGTTAAAAATAATATAATTAATAAATACATTTGGAGTACCTTGTTATTAAAAAGGGAAATGCATTTTCAGTTTCATTAATACAATTAACTAGAACAAAATAGGATTCTAAAAAAATGGGATAACAACATAACAATTTCAGTTTGTGGGATGTCCATGCCAAAATTCTGTTGGAGCAACAAGCAAGACGGAATAATATGATAATGCAACAGTATGTGATTTATCTTCTACATCTACATCCAAGTGGATGTAATAATAGACAAGCTAATAAGACATATTTCTGGATTAGGAAAGTCTTGACTTTTCCTGCTGTTTATATAATGCACAAATTGAACATTTTAACCCAGATTTTAATCCAAGCAAAATAATAATGTTCTTCACCACACTCCCCATCTACACATTCTGGCCAAGGGTCCTTCCCACATCAGTACTCAAATTTGCCTCCTTCCTGCCACTTCTGTGCTGTGATTGTTCTGTTGCTAATGGCACTACAGGAGGAGGAAGGGGGTGGAATCTGGAGTGCTGCTATATTAGGACTCTAAGTATGAATGGCACCGGGGAAGTAACAGTGATTTTAGGAAAGCTTTATTTTCTCCTATTTGATGTCACCATTAAGGATACAACATCAGCATGAGTAGTGGGAGTGATGGGGCAAGGAGTTTTTAAGACTGCTGGGAGAAGGGACAGGCGCCCAGGGTTTTCTGGATTGGAGGTCATTCAGATATTAAGCAGATTGGTTTTAAAATGTGGTGGTCTCTCTAATTCCAGGTTCTCCAAAGTGGTCAATATCGATTCCCAAGGGTTGATGAGACTATCCATTGTTGTTGTTTGTTGTACTATTAGTTAAAGTAGTATTTATTAAATTATTTTCATATAATAAATATTTGGGGGTTGATGAACAATCTGAAACTTCATGAAGAGATTGATGAGCTGAAGAGTTTGGGGACCTCTGCTCTAATTTATTAGAAGTTCCAGCTTACTGTGAATCAGTAATTCACATCTGGTTGGGTTTGCACATGAGTAACAATTAGTGAATGTATACATCCAACTATCATATACACTATTTCATGAACCAAAGGTGTTTGTGTCTGTATGTTTCTTATCCGTATTTAAAAACCAAAATTGAATTAGCAAAACTTGGGAGTTCAATGTGCAGAACACAAAAAATCCAATGAGAAATAGCAGTCAAAATAAGATTTCATAAATATTGCATAATTTTTTCTTGAGATCCAGAAAAAGGAAAGTATTTGTGACAAAAATCTAGCATATTCAAGGTAGCTAACAGTAATTGTCATGTAGAATACAAAATGTAAATTAAAAGCGTAAAACTAATGCCCCAATTAGTACTTAAAACCTAACCAAAGAGATGTATCTTGGCTGCTTTTCTAAAGGGGCAGGGAATAGGAGTCAAACACGATTTCTAAATGTTACATGTTACCCTTTTAGTAAAGTCATTTCTAGATTTTCTGGATTATTATTATTATTTTCCTTTTTCAGGTTTATTTATATTTATATTCCACTGTGCAATGAAAGAAAATGTGCAAAAGCAATGGAGAAGACATCTTTGTTGTGGAAGATTCAGGCTGGCAGACAACTCAGGTAATATGAACTATCATTTATGGAGCTCAAAAAGCTAAAATGTACATGATAAGGTAGTCTCTCATCCATGTGCTGACCAGCTAGGACCTGCTAAACAGATCTTACTGGAACTACTAAATAGAAACTATCTACCAGAAAATTGAGAATATGCTATTTCTGCAAATGATGTTATTTCAAAGAATAGTGTTTCTTTGCAATGTTTGTGTAAATATTTGAGGAGATATTAGAAAGTAAAGGCTGAAAGAGAACAATTGCTTTGATCCTTTTATCTTAGCTTTCACTGAATTAAATGTATGTCTTCATAAGTCTGGCAAAATTCCCATTTGGTAGATATATGGGCAGGACCCATATGTAATAGTCATTGTATTCTATGATGTGTTACTTTAATTAAGCTCAGTTCTATTCATTATTATAGTAAAATATCCTTCACCTTGAGTGTGTTATTTATACACGTATCCTTGTAGTTTTCTGGGCAACTGTATGGAACCCCTTATCACCTTCCAGGATTTCTTTTTAACTTCCCAGTCATTTTATGTTTATAATTTCAGGAATGAATGGATTTTTAGTTGTAAGCAGAATTTTAAAGGATCTTCTGTAGTAGTCTTACCAGGAGGTTCTGCATGGTTGTATACCTCTATTGCTCTGAACCTCTTTAAAATTGTCTCTGTAGCTTAGAAAATATTGTTTATAGCCTCATCCAGTTCAAGGAGGTCAGTAGCCAAATTCCCAAGACTGCAAACATTTGAACACCCTGAATCTACCAACTATGCCTCAAATGAGGAACATTTGTGTTTGTGTACTGGGCAGATGGATACATTTCTCTGACTTATGATGGTGGATGTGTGGTTGAATAGTTCTGTTGCATGGTTGAAAGAGGAAAGAGCATGACTCAGAAGCATAAATTTGGAGTAGTTTCTTATAGAAGTTCTTCATATCCTATAGTATGCCATTGTACATTAGGAACTAAAAGCATCGTTTGCATATAAAGTGTATTTTAAAAACATCCAGTTAAAATTTGCAACTCTATCATAATAGTGAAATTCTCCTCACTTCTAAATTCAAGATACACTTCTGTGTTTTCCTTTAAATTAAAAGGAATTAATTAAAATAAATTAAAACTTTTAATTGTTCCTGCCTGCAGTTTAAGATTAACTTTTGGTGTAATTATAGTACAGATAGTCATTGTTCTGCGACTGCCTCGTTTAGCGACCATTTGTAATTACTTTTTTAATTAATTTTTTTAATTAGTTAATTAATGGCTAAAAGACAAATATAGAAGTACATAGAGAAAAGAAAGAAAAAGAGAAAAGAAAAGGTGCTGAAAAGAAAAGCGTTAAAGAAAAAAAAGATAGTTAAAGACGCAACTTCCGCCGTTCTTTACAGTAGTTACAAACAAACCCATTATCCCTCCTCTCTCCTTAACATTACAGTCATTCTTTCAACCCCTTATTCAATCTTTTTTCAATGGTCAAATCCAGAAATCACCATTTCACTTTTTTCCATTTTCAGCAAAAAGTTCATAAAAGGTTTCCAGTCTTTAATAAAAGTACTTATTGTTTTGTCCCTGATCAAATAGGTCAGTTTTGCCATCTCTGCTAATTCTGCCATCTTCACAATCCATTCCTGCATTGTGGGCATTTTAGTATTTCTCCATCTTTGTGCATACAGGTAGTCCTCAGCTTACAACTATTCGTTCAGCAACCGTTTGAAGCTATGACAGCACTGAATGAATGGTGGTTACAACCAGTCCTCAGAGTTCTGGCCATCCCAGCACTCCCATGGTCATGTGATCGTGATCTGGGTGCTTGGCAACTGGCTCGCACTTAAGACCAGTTGCAGCACCCCACTGCAGCATTCCACAATCACGTGATCGCCATTTGTGACCTTTCCTGATGACTTCCCCACAGAGTCAATGGGGGAAGCCAGCAGGGAAGGTCACAAGTCACTGGGGTAAGTCTCCCCCACCTGCACCATCCTCCCCAGTCCCTTTTCATTTGTACTGTGCCAGCCACTCACATACTCCCAAAATCCTCCCCAGCCTCACCACACCTTCCTTATGCACCCTCCCTGAGCCTCCCAATGCCGCCCTTGTGCATCCTCTCCAGCCTCACTGCACTTCCCATGCACACCCCTCCCAAGTCTCACCACACCTCCCTCGCTCACCCCCACACACCCTCCCTGAGCCTCACCATGCCTCCCCCACCACTTGCACACCCTCTTTCTCCCTCCCCTACCTGGCAGCAACAACCCAAGCCTCCCTATACGAGGACTATCTGTATATTATGTTAGTGGCAGTGTGGGAATAATTTTATGTTATACATGTATGTTATCATTGCACATCTAAAATTCCTATATTGTCAGCACAGAGGAAATGCATGATAGCCTGATTTGCATGATAAGGGGTAATAAGCACACCAGGAAAAAATGAAAATGATGTGCTTTCTTTAATTCCATTTCTTTGTTTCTTTTAAGGTCTGAACAATTATTTTAACCTGGTATGCAATCACAGCCAGTTTTGCTTTCATTTATTTTCAGACTGGAGTAAAACAGCAACTAATATAATAAAGAAGAGTTCAGACAACCTGGGGAAATCTTTATCTTCCAGTTCTATTGGTTCTAATTCAACATACCTGACTTCAAAATCAAAATCCACATCAAACACCTACCATAAAAGGAACAGCCATTCTGGTCAGTAGTTTTCAGTATGAAAAGTCTATCTTTAAAATGAAGTATCCACCTGGGATAACTTGCTTTACCCTGATGTGGAACCTTAGATAAGTTTATGCACAGGAAATGCAGCCATAGGAATTAACCAGAATTTGGCTGAGGTTCATCTGATTCAATGCAGTTTTCCCAACAGCCCATACAAGTGAAATACATAGGCGTAAGGCCCTCAAGCCACCCATGCTATTGCATTATTTACCTTTAAGATTATCAAAAGCTAAGGCTTACCTAAATCTAAAACATAGTAAGGTTGTTGGCACTTTCAATGAAACACTGCTAACACTCCTTTTTCATATAAATAACATTGTATTAAGTGCAACAAAAATTTCTCTGAAAATGTTTAAAATCCTAATTATTGGCATATCACACCATATTGTATTAATTACAAGTGGTCTATTAAATGTTTAAGAATTACCATAGGTAACTAATTTGGTGCATTGTTGTGAATTAAAACTTTATTCCCAGAAATACTCCATTACATAGTAGATGTTTTCTTTAAGTATCTGTAGGTGATTATTTATCCCTGGTCGTGATACAGACTATTAGCCTCTTTTTAATATAAATAACAGCAATAATAATATGCTCATGTTATATGCAAACTTTGTAAGACACAGTTTGTGTTAATCTTTTTTTCTATATGAATTGTAATCTGCTTGAGTACTTCTGTGTAAAATACAGTTATTCAAATTGGTATATTATGCTCATGTTTAATCATAATTTAGTAAATTATATGGTGGTGGATATCTCCAAGTAATTGTTGAATTATTTTACTGTTCCTGTAATTGATTCAGCTGCTCATATGTTTACGGTATAGATAATGTCTTCTAAGAACATGTCCTCACCAGGGGTCGAACATTCAAGGTAAAGTGTGCATCACATTTGCTGAATGCATGATTTCCAAATGCTTGCGTAAGGACACTTGCATGAAGTTTCAATCAGCAGAAAAGATTAACTAATCATACATATTGCTTCATTCTATACTATGCAATTTTCTCTATCATTAATTCTGGCTGACTATAATTTGGTACACAAGAGTGCTTTAGATTATGGTTAGTGTGAAAATTAAACATTCATTATTGGTTGAGGTAAACACACAATGAAAACACCTCCATCCAACGGTGAAGTTTGCTTGCATATTCCAAGATCTATTCATGTATAGTTTCTATCATGAAAGATCACTGCAAGTCATTTATTTCTCAGAGGCTTCCCTCACATTTCTTATTCCATTATGTGGCTCAAATACATATTGTTCAATACACACTTTTCTCAAAAATGTGTATAGTAGCTTACAAAAACAAAGCAAAAAAGACGCCATTAAAGTGATTCACCTAATTTATAATAATGTTTACAAGAAATTATTGTATTCTCTGATGCTGAACTTTTTTCTAATGATTAGAAAAAGCTTTCAATTACTAACTGAATTAGATTTTTAAAGTATGCAGTAAGCATAGACAGTGTATACAAGTTGATTCAGCATTTATTGTAATATCTAGCCAACCTGATGAAAGTAGGATGGACTCTGCTATCGTATAGTGACTGACAGAGGCATCCCAAAAGCTTATGG